AATAATGAAAGATAATATTTTTCTTTCATTGCAAGAAATCAATATATATGCTAGTTAGTCAAGCATAGGAAAAACATGTGTTTCTTTCTACAAATTTTCAAACATTAAATAAAAGTGAACAGAGAAGCATGCATAGGAAAATACTCTAGGATGATATCAACATTCCTACCGTATGTTGATGGCTATGTTTCAAGCTAGTTCTATTTACAGCATGTTATGTGAAGGAATATTCCTATCTGTTCACATTATCTTTAAATCACTTATTAATAAAAATAGCTACTTTGATTTAAGAATAGAATAATAGAAATAACTACTTCAATCTGAAATATTTTTACAAAGAAAGAAAGAAAGATCCCAAGGCAGAGAGTTGCTACTGGAATGATCAACATTTACATGCATCTTTAAATTATCACTTAATTGTAGAGTTTACTCTGCTTTAACTTTTATTATGGCATTTAATTGTTAATGTTGACTTAAATATCAAGTGCCTTTTATACAGGCAGAATGTTATAATAAGCATGTTTGTCATCATATTACCACATAGTACCATAAATCAGCAAAGCACACATGCTCAGAGAACAACATACATTTGATAGTTAAATAAGTAGTGATAAATAACAATAAGTTATTTATAAGTTATTTATAAGTTGAGAATTAAGTCTTTATCCTGAACAGCATTGCTGATAAATAAATAACCGGAAGCAAAAATCTAAGGCAGAGAGGCGACCTCTTCCCCAATAAAGCACAATATGGATTATCAGGGATATGTTAAATTCTGAAAATCTACTTGAAGTCATTCATATTATTTTTTGTTTATTATTATTGGATTCTGTATCTCTGGCTGGACTATTTACAAACTCCCTAAATCTTTGCTATTGTGCTAAAAAAGCTTTCTTTTACACAAGGTAATGGTAACATATGAGTAGTTGACAAAGAAGAAACCTGTAAATATTTGTTTTTGACCAGAAACTTTATGACCATGAAAATCAATCCTCTACTCAGATTTGAATCTCTTTTTTTCCTGAAAAGCCCATCCATCTCATTTAATTCCATGTTTAAATGAAACACCACTTTGCCAAAAGATTTTACTCAGTCTTTTCTCCCTGTCTGCATATACAAATCTCAATGCAGTGGCCGATTGCAGTCTTTTCTTATTTCCAGTTTAATGATCTTTGCATGCAATCTAAAACTAAAACCATACTAAGTAGAATATTAAATGCATATAGTACACATTTTCTTACCATTATTTGTTAATGGAATCATGAGAAACATGATCTTGTAAGAAAGAGAATTTTCTACTTAATATAAAAATACAAAACATATGCACTTTCCAAATTTTAGGCCCAGGCCCTAAGAAATATAAATGTAGAGAAAACTCTTGGTGAGTGCATATTTCTAAGTGTATTTAATATTGTGAAAACCCAGAAACAAAGAGCCATGGTGGCGTAGTGTTTAGAGTACAGTGTTTAGGCTACTTCTGCTGACTGCCTGTTGCCTGCAATTTGGCAGTTAAAATCTCACCAGGCTCAAGGTTGACTCAGCTTTCCATCCTTCTTTGGTCAGTAAAATGAGGACTCAAATTGCTGGGGGCAATCTGCTGACTCTGTAAACCACTTAGAGAGGGCTGTAAAGCACTGTAAAGCAGTATATATGTCTAAGGGCTATTGCTATTGTTATTAAAGAACTGTAGTCTAAATATAATTTAAATGTTACATTATATTGATGTGTATTTTTAGACAGCAGCTTATTTAACCTATGTTGGGCTTTTTTTTTCAAACTATAGCTTACATCCCAAATTGATATTGGCCATGCCTATTTACAGAGGTGCAAAGGAAAAAGTTGGATTTTTTTCTTGAAGGCTGAGCACTATAATTTTGAGTAAACACCTATAGTCAGAAGGATCCAACAATCAGAAATCCAATATGTATATTCAGTTTTGACTTACCCGAGTAATTTATTCTCATTGTCCAAATGTACTATTTGATATATAACACAGTATTAAAAAATCTTAACATTTCACCAACAAAAAGTTTTCATAGCAGCTTACCTTGAAAAATGTCATGGTTGATCCATCTCTAACAGCTCCATATTCTATCCTAGTTTGTTTTGCTAAATCATCTGCTGAATCAATAGGTGACTCCATCCTCTCAACCGTTAAGAAGGCAGCCAAATTAGCAGTGTAGGATGATATTATAATTAAGGTAAAAAACCACCATATTCCTCCTACTATTCTGGTGGAAAGAGCTTTTGGCATCAGCTCTGATCCTGTGTGACACCATCAAAACAATTGTATTACAATAAGATGAAAATAAATTTTAAGATCACGCTATGGAATGTTACTTTCAGAAACATGCTACATTGTGAATAAAGAACAAAAATTAGTTGATGCTATAATTTAGATGTGTAATAATAGTCTCAACAAATACGTTTTATAAGATGAATGCAGTGCTAGATGACAAACAAATAGATGTTTTTGGATTAGAACTACCTTATATTTTTTCCCTTAATGATTAACATGTCAGTTAATTGCTTTTTGAAGTAAAGCAGCTGAAGTATGATGATGGATATTCTTATCTGGAAGTACATTTTATTGATATTGCCATAATAAGTGGGACCAGAATCAGAACTTTTAATATTATGCCCTATAATATGAAGATGTATTACTTTTTCTTTACTGAATTCCTCAAAATATATAAAAAAAATAGGCAACATTAGATATTGCAAGATCAGGAAAGTAAATGGATAATTGCATATTATTTAATTCTCTTTCACCTGGGAAATATCAACATTCGTTCTGAATATTCATATTGCTTCTCCCACCCCATAATATCAAGTGAGAAATTCTTCTGTATATAAATTTGGGGAGAACCTTGTCATTTATTTATTTTCAGAAAACATCATATTGTCAATTGTTCAGTTTATTATAACTAATGAGTTACTCAAGCATCTCCAAAAATGTTCTGGTGCAATCTTCCCCAATTATCTCATATTTCCTTTGACCTTGTCTATTTTGTTAAAAGTGCATACTGTCTTAATATTATTGCAGACTAGGATTATGCAAAATGATCTGAACACAAGACACATCCTGCTCCAAGTCTGAAATATTGTGTTAGGTGCAGGAGATATGATTCAAGCATGAAATGGGGAGTTTATATCATTTGGGAAGTCTTTTGCATTCAAAATTTTAATTGGAAATTGGGCTCTGGATTTCAATACACATTTTTCAGATTTATATCTTAAAAAATGGATATTAGGCAAGAGTATAAGCAAATCAGTTTATTGAAGCTGCCATTGCTACCTTTAAATAGTCTTTCAACTTTCCTTTATTTGTTCCTCATTTCCCTGTTACATAGAATGAAAACTACCCTGCATCATGAATAACTTAAACACCATTCAAGATGAACCTGGAGTTACGGGGCATGGTTTCTGATCTGTCAATAAATAATTGCAGAAAAACCTGAGCAACCCTTATCAAGGAAATAAAAAAATCCTTCAAATTTTTATTGCATTTCCAGTGATGCTTAAAAAAACATCAGTAATTAAACTTCCTCTTCTTCAAAACACCTCAGCAGGTGGTCAAACTCTTTAGACACCAACTACCATGTAAGTGTATTAACTGATCTGATTTGTTTACCAAACCTTTTTGGCACTGAGGTGCTATACCTTCTAAAACAATTATGTGGAAGGCAAGAGCAAGATTTATGGCCTTGGAAAGTATCTTTATTTGTAAACTGAATATTGTATTTTCCAAATTATATATTGGAATATATCTAATTTCAATATTGTATTTTCCAAATTAAATATTTCAGATAAAATCTTGTGTTATGTATGGTTTAAGGCTGCATATTGTATTGATATAAGACAGTCAACCAAACATAGCTCTGTCAATATTACTGTAATAACAATAGCTGTAATAACACTGTGTTATAAAATGCAACTTGCCAAAATGATACAATTTCTGCTTCCAAGATAGATATTCTACACAGGGAGGTTCTGAAATTCTTACATTCTTTATTGCTAATTTGGAATTCCCTTTTATTTATAAGAAAAGCCCATTGATAGTGTGAAAAGAAAGAATGCATTTCATTTAGACATCTGCTTGTTGCCAACCATACAAGGTATCAGAAGATACCAAGAACAATCACTTCAGCCACAGAAAAGCTGAAACCATACCATTGGCTGACAGAATGATATTCCCCTGGTTTTGATTAAATCCAAAAGAAACAAACATCTGATTTTGAGCAGAATGCAGACTTCTTTGAAAAATGAAGGATCTGATATAATTAATCCTTACACTTTCTACATGAGCATCCTTCCGAATTCATATTATGGGGAAAGAGGACTGATACTTTTTACATACAACTCTCTTGGCATCTATTTATCTGCTAAATACAGGAAACAAATTTGTCTATTCTGTATGTGCATAGTTGTGGTATGTGCAGAAAATTGCTGTGTCTGATTTTTATGGTAAGTTGTGGAATCTGATAAGCTTATCTATTATTCTTAGCAGGTTCATCATTGATTCTAACAAGACTGCATTCATTGGAATTGGTAACTCTGCCGATTAATTTGCATGCCGAATATTGACTTGAGTAAGTATGGTATTTTTACTAAAATCTAAGGAGCATTGAATTCAAGGAAGTTATTCCCAGAGAATTGGAATTCATCATAACAGCTTTCAGGCTTAGAATAACCACTTCACTGTGGTTATACAGTATAGGCTTGTAAGCGGGGGATTTTAACTTGTTCTGTTTTCTAATTAATCTCTAATTATATTGCAAGTTCAAATAAAATTTTTATCTGTTTTAAAAATCAGGGAATGGTGGGGTAATAAATGTTACAAGTGAGTGACAGTACTTGCTGAAGACTCTCTAGTGTCTGTTTTATTTGTTTTGGCAGACATGACAGCCAATCCTGATCCAGACTTTGCTCAACCTCTGTAGAAAAGAGAAAGTCTGATGACCACAACTTATAATTTAATAAACAATGCTTTATGATTCAGCAGCTTTTGTTAACAAAAAAAAGAGCATACCAACAGGCGCAAAGGTTAAAGCCATTCATCTCTCGTTCAAACTCTTCGTGTTAATGATGCTGCCCTTATAGTCCACACGTACCACAAGTTTGTACATGGAAATATTTGCTGCAGTTTACAAATGTTTGAGCTTAGTTTTCCTTTTTAATGCTTCTTCAAAGACAAGCAGAGTCTGGTTGGGGCTGACTGTCATGTATCCAAGGTAGTGGTGACTTGCAGACACGACATCCCACAGTTTGTTGTGGATGTTGGTAAACTCCAAAAAAAGATTATTAAGAACACACATGTAAACATAAAGCACTCTGATATATACACCTGTCCAGTAGTGAGAAATCTTACATGCTTTATTCACCAAATGACAAAAAAAACTTATTCTAATGGATGAAATTAGATTTTCTCACCCTGTGTACAATATACTTTGGTACACATATCTTCCTACATATGCCAAAAAAGCTAGATGAATATAAGAAAAAAATTGCTATATTTTTCCAGATTATAACCATGTTTTATACTAGCAAAGCTTTTTAAAATGTTGTCTATTCTTATAATTTGCTTAATGTGTGATCAGTATCAAAAGGATTCACAGTAACATAAACTTTATATAAATGTATATGTCATATGGAGGCAAAAATACATTACTTCAAGTCTCCCAGTGAATACCATACAGTATCAAAGGCATCTTATCAATTTCACAGCCAAATAGGCCCTTTGTGCAATTTCTAGAATCAACTGCAATTGTGAGCATCAAAGATTGGGTCCATTTAGAAGAGACAAACATCTTAAATATCTGCAGAGAAGTCTTAATTCTGTTTTAGTAAGTAATAGAGGTTTGACAAGTATTTTCAAATGAAGGGCCCTTTTCAGTTGGGTTCCATGATCATTCTCCCCAAATGCATTGTTGTTAAATTGCCAATACATAAATATGTGTAATTATATCTTTAGTTCCAAATTAGGCTTTCAAGTTTTTGCTATAGCTACCAATGGTGGAGTTTACCAGCACAGCAGCCCTCCATCAAACTGTGGGATATGTGCAGGAGTGAAGGGTAACCGCTGTACCTTGCTGCATGAGAGCTCCAACTCCAAACCAGAAACTATTAAGTAAAGTAAAATTGTTTTCCACCACATCTGAGTCAGGGTTGCATGGGTGGGGGTTATACCACTCGTAGGGTGTAAACCTGTGATAGTTAACAGAAAGAGTTGGTAAACATCACATAAAAATATGCCAAATACTGAACAAAATCCAAAGATTAATGAGAAAAAGAAAAAAAAAGGAATCAATTAAGGCCATATTCATAAATATGCAATCACAGCATAAGAGACCCAAAGCAAATTTGCAGTGCAAAGCATTTTAGAATATACTTTTCAATAAAAGGACTAATTCCATTAAGTCTATTCATCTTTGGTTCATAGCCAGCAAGTCCATGCATCATGTAAAAAATAGGAAAATCACTTTTACACTACTGAAGCAGCTTCTTGGATGCGAAGTGAAACATCTTCAAAGAGAAACCAGAAAGTCCAGTGGCCTCTTGAAAAAGCACCTTTGGGACAACCATGGCCTAGATGACTGAGAATCTCCATAGACCAAGGATTGTCATTGGGAAGACACTGCTAAAAGTGAAACCAACTGCAATATATACAGATAAAGGTGTTCCAGTTCAGTGGTGGGATTCAAATTTTTTTACTACCAGTTCTGTGGGCGTGGCTTGGTGGGTACAGCAGGGGAAGGATACTGTAAAATATCCAGTCAGAGGTGGGATTTGCCGGTTCTCCGAAACACTCAAATTTTCCGCTACCGGTTCTCCAGAACTGGTCAGAACCTGCTGAATACCACCTCTGCTCCAGTTACATGTCACCTATTTCCTCTGATATGAATTATCTTCTATGTCAATGATATGTGTCTATATATTTCAAGAGCCTTCCATACAATAATAGTATTTGCCAAGTATTGGTCAGAATTTTTATGTGCGTGGGTTGGATGCATGAAAACAAATCCACAAATGGAGGTGATGTATGTGCTGTTTGCTGCACATTCGTTGTAGCAGATACTTTCCTTATCCTCAACAGGTGCAGGTAAACACAAACTTGCAAGGTTTGATTGAAAATGATCAGGGGTAATTTCAAAAGGAAGGCAAGAAATAGCAAATTCTTCAGTGCATGGTTGACCTCTCAGCTGAATTTCATTTATGAGCCCACAAAGTTTATGTGAACTCTTATTGTTCATGTTTAAAAAAAACCTAACTAATAGCACTCAGAAGTACATTTTGCCCCATCTACAACTTCCTTGAATTTATATTTTTTTTGTTATCACTGGAAATTAAACAACCAGTTTCAAATCATTTATCAGGGAAAAACCTCACTCAATGATTTTTCACTATTCAATTTAGCATCATTATTTTAGAACAATTTTAACTTTATAAAATATTTTATACCACCTCTACAGTATAGAAATGGGATGGGGATGTATGAATCAGAATTCTCCTCATTTAGGCTTTATATCTTATTTAATTTTTGGAGTTCTTAAAACTTGGCTCTTGGGGAGAACGAATCGGTGCCATGCCAGATGCTACAATTCTCACTATCACTCATAATTGACCTGACTTCCTGATACAGTTGTTGTAGAAATATCCAAGGAATGATAAGTTCCCCATATCTTCCCTAGTTTCTTGAGATCCATTTACCTGCAACCAATCATATAAATAAGGTTGTAGTTGTAGTCAATCCTTAAGCTGCAATATGACTTCTGCCACCTGATCCATTAGCTCATTCAATTCCACCAGTTAGTTCCACCATTAGTTCAGTTCCACCATTAACAAACAATGACTAAGGACAGAGCCCTTAGATTAACAAACTTTTTTGGAATAAGAATTATAAATGTCTATGGCATTAATATTTTGTTTTAATTTTTAAAATTGTTATGCAAAATTATTTTAAAATCTTTACCTATAGATGATTGCAGATGGATAATTTCATAGTTGCAGGACATATTTGATTATAAATGATTATAAATATGGCCTTAATTGACAATATCATGCCAATACAATAGCTATTTAACTATATACTTAAGCTTTGAATATATGCATTCTTGTTATATGCGTTCTTGTTACTGAGCATTGTGTTAGACACGAAGCAATGAACATAGATAATAATGAAGGTACTGATTGAAACAGTTTGTAGTTTAAGATGCTGTTAGCTAAATAAAATAATCATCAGTATAATAGCTAATTAAAAAAATCAAAACGAGAATGGCTATTCAAGAAAACATCTCTTGCATGCATTATATGGAAAGTACCATTTAAAAATACTCCATCAAGCTCTTGAATTTGAAATTCAAAATTAAAATAAACATTTTAATCAACAACACAGGATCTAATTATGGTAACAAGAGGACTGTGCCAGCATTCAGGCAGAATATGCTTCAACTTAAAAGGCAATACCGAGATTTTTAATCTATCCGTCACCATTTACAATGTCAAATGCTCAGGTTTCCATGTCTGTTAAACAAATAGCACTACAGGCAATATTGGACAAAATAACTAGTGGCACTATATGAAAGAGAACCTGGGAAAGAAAATTTCATCATACCAAAATATTGAAACTGAAAGTGAACCCAGCTCTTCTGTAGAACACACAGGACTGTATAAATTCTAGTCAGTAGGACCAAAACTTGTTAGATACAATATATAATCTCTACCAACCAAATTAGTGTAATCATAATGCATACACAGCGAGTCTTTGACTTACAACAGTTCATTTAATGACCATCCGAAGTTACAATGGCACTGAAAAAAGTGACTTATGACTGTTTTTCAGACTTATGACTGGTGTAGCAGCCCCATGGCCAGGTGATCAAAATTCAGCCACTTGGCAATTGACTCATATTTATGATGGTTGCAATGTCCCAAGGTCATAGGATCACATTTTGTGACCTTCCACCAGCAAAGTCAATGACCAGTCAGATTCACATAACAACCATGTTATTAACTCAGCAACTGCAGTGATTCACTTAACAACAGTGGCCACAAAGATTGTAAAATAGGGCAAAATTCACTTAACAAATGTCTCACTTAGCAACATAAACGTTGGGCTCAATTTTTGTTCATAAGTCAAGGACTACCTGTACACAAGAGGATATGCTCAGTACCATTTTGTCAATATGTAATATTTGAGGTTTATGGAAGAAATTATTCAAAAACCTATAGTTTGCCTTTCATACAGAGAGAAAAAATTACATCTTGAGTAAGAGACAGATTCTTGTGGCATATTGGTTTGAATGAAATTTCTTTTCCTTTAATGAACTCCCTTATATATTCACTGAACTATTAGTTACATAAGGAAATTAAGAAAAAACTAGGCAGAATCACTAAAGCTCAAAGAGTCCCAAAGAAGAAAAGACAAGAGTAAAAAGCACCAAAAGGTAAGTTTATGCTGTGTCACCTGTAAAGTCATGGAATCAATTATTAACCAATCCATTATCCTCCACTTAGAGACAAACAACGTACTCTCTAATAAACAATTTGGTTTCAGAAAAAACTATCCTGCAATCTGCAACTCTTACACTGCAAAAACATATGGACTACACAACTCGATCAGGACAAAGCAATAGAGGCAATGTACATAGACTTCTGTAAAGCCTTTGATTCAGTGGTACATGACAAACTACTCCTAAAACTAAAATCTTACGGTATCTCTGGACACCTGCATAACTGGATAGAAGCATTCCTGTCAAACAGACGACAAATGGTCAAAATTGGGAGCGTCCTATCAAATTCTGTACCTGTCAATAGTGGTGTCCCCCCAAGGCAGTGTTCTAGGATCAACTCTCTTCATACTGTACATAAATGACCTCTGTGATCATATTAAGAGCAACTGTGTTCTCTTCGCTGATGATGTAAAGCTGTTCAATACCACAGACAATACTGCTACCCTTCAAAAAGATCTTGACTATGTATCAGAACGGTCAAACAAATGGCAACTTCAAATCTCAACAAATAAATGCTCTGTCTTACATATTGGCAAAAAAAAATCAGAAAATAAAATACAAGCTGAATAGTCAAGACCTTGTTGATGAGCCAAACTCTGTCAAGGACCTTGGAGTACTCATCTCTAATGATCTAAGTGCTAGAGCCCACTGTAACTACATAGCCAAAAAGGCATTAAGAGTTGTTAACCTAATCTTATGTAGCTTTTTCTCTGGTAATATCACACTACTAACTAGAGCATACAAAACATTTGCTAGACCAATACTTGAATACAGCTCATCAGTCTTCATACAGCTCATTACGTATCTGATATTAGCACAGTTGAGAAAGTCCAGAAATATTTCACAAGAAGAGATCTCCACTCCTCTACTCATTGTAGAATACCTTATGCCACCGGACTTGAAATTCTAGACCTAGAAAACCTTGAATTACGCCGTCTTCGGTCTAATCTAAGTATGGTATATAAAATCATACATTGCAATGACTTACCTGTCAGCTTCAACCATAACAGCACAAGAGCACACAATAGATACAAACTCAAGGTTAACCACACCAAACTTGATTGTCGGAAATACGACTTCAGCAACAGAGTGGTCAATGTCTGGAATACTCTACCTGACTCTGTGGTTTCTTCCCTGAACCCCAAAAACTTTAACCTTAGACTGTCTACTATTGACCTCACCCCTTTCCTAAGAGGTCTGTAGGGGGCGTGCACAAGTGCACCAATGTGCCTACTGTCCCTGTCTTATTGTTTCTTTTATTTTTCTTATATGTACCCATTTCATGTATTCATAACTATGTATATACTATACCTATTATCATGTAAGCGATTGACAAAATAAATAAACAAACAAACAAACAAACAAACAAACAAATAAATAAATAAGTAGCTACCCAATTCCTCAGTGGACACATCTGTTGCGAAAATAAAACAAAGAGTCCTGACAACAATCTGATTTTATTTTTGTTTTGCAGGAGAGTTCTGGTGAACACCATCTTGGTGCAAAAACCTAAAGGAAGTACAAAAATTGCTGCAGTAATTTTATGCAACCGAGCTGGCCAAGACTTAGGTATTGATATGCAATAGAGTAGTTACGTATGTATGTATTTGTTTGTTTGTTTGTTTGTTTTTTATAGCCAACAAAAAAAGGAAGTAAACAAAGCAAAATAAAACAAAGCAAAGCATAATATACCATAGTATATGCTTTGTGGAATTTCCATGCATAACCGATTAATCCTCTTTCCAGCAGTTTCCAGAAGTCAGTGAAAACATCCAAGTTCAAATTATATTGAAATTATCATTTTATAGTATACTATTTTATGAATTATTCTGATCTTGACCAATATTCTGTACTTACAAAGTGTAATGCTGAATAGGGAGACGTTACTTTCAGGGCTTGAAGGGATGGGGACCATCTACTTTTATTATTCATATATACATATTTTGTTGCAGCCTTCGAACCTTGGAGCCTTCAGTGCTCAGTTACCATTGCCATAACTTAAGAATTTAGAAAATTGAAGTCACCTTGTCTCTGGAAGGCACCCAGGTTAGGTACTTTCCATTTTACTTGCCTGCCCACTAGTTAGCATCATAGCATCCACTATGGATCTACATTTGAAATTGACTGCAGTCCATACCAACCTATGCCATACTCGTGCAAAATTTTAGATTTTAGGGTATTTCCGAATGATTTATAATATTTACAGTGCACATTCTGTAGTTGGTTTCTAACAGCAAAATGGAAGTATGGAATGGAGAACTATCCAATTACACACACACACACACACACACACACACACACACACACACACACAATGCTCCTTTGTCAGAGGGCACAATTTCGAAGCCTAGTATAAATATCAGACAAAATTTTTGTAGGTGCTGCCTTTTATAAAGAGATTATATTTCCCTATCAAATATTACCGTGCCTAGCTTTAAAAATATAAAATACATTATTTATTTAATTAAAAACAAATCATCCCTTTATAAATTGCAGGAAATAAAAATTAAAACAAATAATGTTATGTGAACAGCTTTTAAACATGATGCCTAATCCAATTACCTTTCTTTTATTCACTCTAGTGAAAGCCTGAGGATGTTAACATATTGAATTGAAGTTGTTATGGAAGAAACAAATAAAATTAGATAAAAATCTAACTTTGAAGTCACCAGTTGCAGCTGTACACAAAATTATTCATATATAATTTCCTTTGGAGGTATTAAGAAAATGTCAGAATGAAGTTTTGCATTGGGTGTAGGATATAAAATAAATTCTAATTTTCACTTGTAGTTCAAGGCATCAAGTACATCATCAATTAATCTCAAATTGCCAATACATCTTGTGTATTTTAATTCTGCTGGTTTAAAATTCTATCTTCTAAAAATATTTCTAATTCTACTTTTAAAAACTAATTTCACAGTCACTCATTTATTCTTCATAGTAGAGCCTATTAATCAATTATAATCTTGACAACCTTATGTAAAATGAAATGTAAAGGCAATTTGGAACTATAAGTAGAAGATATCATTTGAATATGTAATCAGTAGAAATTGTATATGCCAAAGATATATTTGTTATTAGTAGAACTACTTTTATTTTCCATTTCTTAATACGTTTTTCTATACATAGAATCCAAAATTCATATAAGGGACTAGAAATGAAGGACCTTTAGAAATTGGCTTCCACAAGAAAGATGAGGATATTAAATAAATGAAGACACTTGGTGACAGAGAAATCCTTGAACAAAAGTATCATAAGCTAAAGCTGCCTTGTCTGTTTTTGTAGCTACATCATAGAAAATACTTTAACTATGAAGATCATTAAAAATAACATTTAAAAATAAGAATGAAAAGAGTGTGAATGCTTCTAATTTGGCCTCACTGAATACTTTGCTCTTATAGCAAAAACTGTAAAATGATCAAATCTTTATCCATTATTGAAAGGAAAGAAAACACTAAATATACCCGTTTTACTTTTTGGACCGTATTTGCATATCCCCAAACCCACTCTATGTCATAAATATGGCAAGTGAAACTTTTAATGAAGAGTTTTCATGTCTGTGCCATGAAAAAAAGTCTATTTGGGAAATTCCTATCTTTGCCAGGACACCCTTTGTAAGGAGCTATTTAGATGTCCAAAGTGTTCTGCAAATTGGCATGGCAACCTTTTGAGATTATTATTCATTTTAGACTTCTTCAATGTGGAATCAAGCCCTTGTTAGCAAAGGTTCCAGGTAGCTGATTTTTATCCATCTTTCTCGCAGTGGGAAAACAGAATAGTTTTCAGTCTTGCCTCATTACACAGGAAGAAAAAAATCTGGCAAGGATGACCAGATAGTTATTAGTCATTCCAAAGTTGTTGATTTACAAATAGTCAAATCTGTGATTCACACTGCAGTGAGCATAGTTCATAAGCATTTATTGCTCCAAATGCCAGTTTTCAAGAGCATTGTATCAGATTTGCATGAAAATCAAGGCATTAATTCACTACCTGCCTTGCTTTTGACACATAGAGCTAAGCAGAACGTTGGCCTTAAGATATTTTATTACAATTATTCTTTCATTCCCTTACATGAAATATGCAGTTTGGTCTGCCAAAAAATAATAGGTTGATAGTACCTGTGCTTTTTTACAATCACTTCAGTGCTATTAAAATTATTTATTCAGTAGGTTTCAAACTTTTAATCTTCAAAAGTCTGTCCGTAGCAATACATTTTCAAATGGACTTTACATTGCTGGAGATTTTGTTAAATGTGCATACAGACAGTTTATGAGGATAAAAATTCTGCCTGATCCTTCCCTCCCACCTCTCTCTCTCCTATCTATTGGTATCTATCTAACTATCCATCCATCTATCATCTATCTATCTATCTATCTATCTATCTATCTATCTATCTATCTATCCATCCATCCATCCATCTATCATCTATCTATCTATCTTTCTATCTCTCTATCTTTCTTTCTATCTACCGTTTCCCTGAAAACACAACCTACCCCAAAAGTAAGCCCTAGCTTGATTTTTAAATGTGTGATCAATATAAGCCCTACCCCAAAATAAGCCCTGGTTAAAACCCCACCCATTCCAGGGTGCATGGAGTGGGGCAAGGCAACACAGGTAAAAATTAAGCTAGGGTGGGGATGGGGGTGGTGGAGCCGCCCTACTTACCAGGCCTCACACACCCCAATATCTGCCTTGCTGGCCCACTTCTGCAGCTGCTTGCTGCTGCTTGTACGTATCTCTCCTGGCCTCCATTTCACTATCAGAGAGGCCTTCAGGAAAGACCTCTTAGCTAAGAAATGGGCTCCTGGTTGATGCACATGGCACCTCCTGGCCTTGTTTCACTGGCCTTCCAGAAAGGCCTCTGTAGCCAAGAAACAAGGTCCGAATTGACATGCGTGTCACCCCCAGCCTCTGTTTTGCTGTCGGAGGCCCTTCAGGGCTGATAACTGACCTCCAGATCAATCCACTGTGTGTGTCAATCTGGAGCCTATTTCTCGGCTGCAGAGGCCTTTCCTGAAGGTCTCTGACAGTGAAACAGAGACCAGGGTGATGTGTGCAAGCAGCAACAAATGACCACAGAAGAAGTGGGCTGGCAACGGGCTCCTGCTGGGCGGGGCTGTCAGTGCCATCACTGCAAGGTGAGTCAGTGGGAAGCACTCCCTGAAAATAAGACCCGGAGCCCTTTTTGGTGGAAAAATATATATAAGACGGGGTCTTATTTTCAGAGAAACATAGTAACTATCATCTATCTTGGAAACATAGTTTTGGCTACCGTTACTGAACTTACATGGTATACATTTTATTTTTCCATCCAAATCTCCCACTTGCTTCACCAAAAATCCAATGGTTTTTCCTTTGAATTAAAGAGAACATGGGATATGTAAGGAGAAGTAAGGAAAAGAGAGTGCCAAAGCTAGACAGAGACTGATTGTATAAACATATTCCACCTGAGCTGGCATATTTGTTCATTTCTGTTATGAGAGGCAAGAAAAGTTAGACCAAAAATGAAAGATCACAATGTGCCTTATTACCATGGGATATCTCTCAAGCTTTGGGTTAGAAATCTCTGTCATCCATCCAGAGCAGAGTCCCCCAATGTTGCCTGCTTTGTGGACCACTGGGGGTGTGTGTGTGAAGCAGATGGTGTCACACCAGCAGCTGGCAAGCGCATGCGTGCACACACAACTCCATTTGCACATGTGGCATGCATACGTGTTTGCCACTCTTATAAATGGAGTGTATGCGCATGCACTTGCCTGCTGCTTGTGCAAATGAGAATGTGTGCGTATGGGTGCACACTCACTGGCTGTTTCCATGGCCTGGTTGCAATCCCCTCATGGCCCACAGGTTGGGGACCCCGATCCAGAGAATCTAAGGGTTCCTTGGGATATAATTTGAAAACCACAAAATAAAGTGTTATCCTGAAAAAGTAGTAATACAAAGAATGGAACCCAAACAATGCTACAAAGAAATTAACTGAACCTTTAGTTGTGCGCCTGCTTGTCCCTGGCAAGAAATGAAAGCTGAATTAGCTACTGTCACTGATCCAGCAGGCCTCTTTCCATTCTTTTTGCATAGATTGCAGTCTCTCCAATAGCTTCCCAAATTCTTCCATTACTTGCTTTTACAGCTCGGCAGATCACATTATTAGGGGGTAGTGATGCAGAAAATGTAACTAGATTATCATTTCTGAACCAAGAATAATTTACATGCCCAGATGAATGTTTTTTGCTGTTACACAAGTGGGGCCTTTAAACTCACCGTGCAATGACAAAGAGCACACAGCTGACTCCCAGGCAGGCTAGCAGCACATACATCCAAATATCAGCAGAAAGAGGGTTTAGAAAGGAGAAAACCCCAGGATTTGTGCCATTAGGCTTCCGGTACAAAATACTGATTCCCAGCGTCATGAATGGCTTTGAAAAGTCTATTACTTTTTCTCTTACGTAGGTAATAGTGAGGGGAGCAACTGCCAGGTCAGCTTTCTGAGAATACAAATTGAAGAATTATCTACTCATTTCCATCGTAGAAACAAATAAACATATTTTTATTGTACCAGTTACTCTCTCAAGCATCAGTATAGGTCAATAAATTGTTTTTCTCATTAAAGGTTGTTGAGAAAGAAACAGAAATGTGCAACATTATTGTATGCATGTCTATTCAGCAGTAAAGTCCATTGTATTAAGGGATCTTACTTTCAGAAAAACAGACATACTTATCTTTTTTTTAAGTAGTAAGAAGACATACTTATCTTCTTTTTATTTATTCAAAAACATATAGTGCAAGGATGCTTTCTAAATAATGTATTTTTATTACTGTATATGATTTAGTGTTTCATCCTTTTAGATGATTTTTGAGCTGCTGTGATGAAGTGCTCTTACTAAACACTGAGTATACAGAATCCATTAAATGTAATAGGAAAAGTGAAACTCTGAGATGTTCAAAAGTGATGTTTTTAAAGGGAAATTTTCTCACAGAAATATAAATTTAAATTGCAATTTACTTAGATTTGATTCTACAGTTCTTCATGCCTCCTAGTCCATATATTAGTTGGCTGTTTTGTCTGTGTTCTAACAGCAAATAATGTTCATGTTGTAAGGAATGGGCTAATACAAAACATTATGGTCAGTGAGTGAGTATAACCTCTCCTTCCCAAATGTTAACTCAACTATAAGGAGCACGGTCAAAACTGATGGATGACAGAAGTCATGGTCCAGCAAGATATGAAGAACAACATTGTGGTCATCTCTGATCTAGAGAAGCAAGGAATATAAACCATTACAGTGAATAAAATTAGAAGAGTGGCCATCAGCCATTTCTTCCTCCTATATCTGTAGGGTACAGAATGTCCAGAGTTCTTAAAATATCTGCTTTGCTAATTATCACATAATAGCTTGGCTCATAGTAAGGGAATTGCATTGCATGTACATTTTTAAGATCGCATACTTTCTGTGAAAAAATCTCTCCATTCTAATTTTGTTCTTGTATCAAATAACTACTTAATTTATAGAGAAAAAAAGTATAGAGGTTTAGTAGTTTATATGTTTCCCTTAATGACCAATGCAAGTTTATATGTTTTCAGTAGTGATCAATGCAAGCTGAAAAGAATGGCCAAGATGACAATTCAATCTTACATGATCTATGAGTTCTTTGACCATCCCATTCCATTCGCCTTTGTCATTCTGGGCTCCATATTTTCCATCAGATACTAGTTTTACTTCATAGATGAAGCCTAAAATACTTGATAACTCCTTCAATAAATCCAGGCAGTAACCTTCAAACCGATCATTACCATAAAGAGGTTTATCAGATTTCTTGTACATGACATAGGGATCTTCCTGTATAAAAATACATAAGACATTTGTAGAACCAGCTGTTTTTGAAATACAGAAAAAGATTAATGATATGCTAAAATGTACAGATGCTTAGCTTAATATCAGATTTTATCTGAATCAATTATGTAAACAGAAACTCTAACGTGATTTGTTTTCTGAGGTCATCATTATTATAGCTAAATCTGATTAAGATAGTAAAAAGGAAACCAGTTTGCAAAGATTCACTGCTCGATACATTTGTTCATACATTAAAATCAAACAACTGAAAATCTTAGGATGTACTAAATCATGCAGTTGCTAGGATCACAGTAGGGTAATTTAGGCCCAAATTATTAAACAAGAGAAAACTCCATACTCAAAACCACCTTGAGGTTTTCTGCCTAGTTTTATAAGGAACAGATAATTAAATAGGAAACACTGAGATAGTATTTTTTAAGGTTAATATTGTTATTGTGGCATTAGGACATACTGTTGCCCAAGGTGCAACAGTATGTGGTGACTCACTCAGGTTAAGGTGCCCTGGTAAATAACATGGAAAATTCTACATTAATCTGTCAGTTCCTCTGGTAATAATAATAATAATAATAATAATAATAATAATAATAATAATAATAATAATAATAATAATAATAATAATAATTGCTGATTGTTCATGAAAGATCTAAGCTTGCTTTAGATGGATTCATTGTTTCACATTGCAAACATTGTTATAAGTTTTTAATACCTAAATACTATTGACTCATTTCACACAATGTTTAAAACATTTTAAAAACATAATAAATAAAATAAGTTAACTTCTAAAGTAGCCAAAGTCTGACGAGTGCATACTATATATGAGAAGTTTTCAAGAGTTGGGTAATATATGAGTTATTGATCATCTTAACACTCTTTGTTGTTTTTCAAATGGACATAGCAACTAGTGCTATTCCTGGGCATCCAGACAATCAACCTCAATTTTATATATAGTGTATATTTACTATTGTTCAGAGGTACAATATAGAGACCTCTATTTCTTTTCATTTTCTTTTCAAGATTAGTTTCTCAAACTTGGCTTTGAAATAAAACACAAACACATTACATCATAGACTCAAACACTGCTTCTATCTTATAGTGCATTTGCTTTAAACAAATAAGTGAAGTTGGCTAAAATTATTTGGAAACACGATAAAGTTAGAAAAAAAAATAGGAACATATGTTCCAGAAATGTGGGGTTTATAAAATATAGAACAATTTCATCTGTGACAAGATTTAGATGATTACCTCAGAGTATATGTGCTGTTAAATTGTGTGTGTGACATCTACAAGGGTTTATGTTTACACTACTTAAATCCCCAATTCTTGTGACGCTGGTACTACAGTACATTGTACTGGGGGCATCTGTAATACAAGTCTGTGATTAGTAAAAAAAATAAATGTCTTTTTTTAATTAGATAGGCTGTTAGCAAAGCAAATATTACCTGTAAGAAAAGCAAAGAAAACTGATAGAAAATAACCAGAAAATATACCAGAACTTACCAAAATAGTGGTGACAATGAGTGTCCGGTTTGCAAGTGAATCTGTTATATTGGTAGAACGGTCTTTATTGCTGTTAGTCATATTAAGGCCACGGTTTGAGTTCCAAATCCCAATCTATATAGAAGAAATTGGATATATGACTGCTAACCAGTAATGTTAGGGAAATGTTTTTATACAATGAATGTGTGTTATGGGTCTGTTGTGGAAATTTTATTTATGATTCACATCACAGCAAAAGACTAAAACAGCAGCCATAACAGATACTAAAGGCATGGACCAGACATATTTGAAACTACCAATCTACAAGAATGATGGATTATCAACACAGTCAGTTACATGAAATACACTGCTGAGATGGGGTGTGATGTTAGTTGCATATTAGTTATCAGAACTACTTTATCTCAGAATATATGAGTTTTACATGTTGCTTTTGTCTTTTTAATGAATGTTTTGAAAATGGAAAACGGAAACCTGATTTTCATAAAACACACTAAGAGTATAACTAACAGGCCTAATCACCAATCCTTTTCTTCTCTGTTGAAAGCAGTGGTTACTTGACTCTTCTAACGATAGAATTAATCAAATGATCACTGATCAATGACATTTGGAAAATTGAAGCTGAATGAAAAAAAGAGAGGTGATTTCCCAACCTAAGGGTCTTGATTAATATTTACAGAACATTATAAATTATTTGGCCCTGAAGAATTTCAAGGGAACATGGCAGTATCTAATTGTGTGAATTGAAATTACACAATGGGAATGGCATAGTTCTAAAATCAACCTTGTATAATTCCATCTTTAAGTTTAATGGTATTGGAGTTTAATTGAATTGTAGTAGAGGAACTATACTATAGTTGGCAATTATTATTCTTTTTGCAGTGTAAACACCAACTTCAGGGGGCACTGAGTAGTATTATGGAAAGAAGTGATTATTCTTGGCTATTCTTGGTTACAGTAGATAAGGGAGATCCACCCCAGGCATTATTTGCATTGGCTCCATTAAGGTTATTTACTAATACAAATAACAGGACTGGAGGTCTTTTTGTTCAGATGAAAGGAATAATTTTCCATGACTGATATTTGCTTTTTTCATGACTGATATTTCCATGCTTTTTCCATGACTGATATTTGAAGATTAATACCATGATTTCATTAATATCATATTTCAGTGAGTGGGTGAATTTTTAAAGACCTGACTCAAACAAGCAGGTTGAATAACCATTTGTTACCTAGCAAATAGGGAAACTACATAAGAAAGGGCAATTAATCTGACAAAATTATTCCTAGGTTTTAAGAGTTAGAAGAGGAACTGGAGGAAGGCATACAGAAAGAAATAAAAAAAAAAACAGAAAATGTTTTCAGAAACTTACAGTGAAAACTGATAATTATCCAGTTCATGATTAACCATTAGAGCAGATCCCTCAAGGATCAGCCTATAGCCATAGCCAGAGCAGATTAATGGAATCACTTTTGGGAGGCAAAACTACAAATGCTAACATTAGACAATGGAACATATCTCTTCCATAAACACAATGAGCACCCGCTTGATCAAGTTTATAGTTTATATGTTTATACTGCATGCCTATGAGATCTTTACTGACATAACCAGTGATAGACAGACTCATTTCTAAGATTCCAGAAAATCATATGCAAGTCCATCAAATAACACACATCTGAATCTACATTTTGTTGAACAAATAGCATAGAACACTAGTAGATCTTCAAGAATATTATTATTGAATGTTTTTATCAGGAAAAGCACATAATGGCTATCTTGACTAATCACAAAAAAGTTCAGTATAAATCAAGTCAAATGACACCTGAATTAGAAATAATCAGATTATACAACGTATACATAGCAGAAAATATAGTTGTCAATAAATTATTAGGATGAAAGAGACAGTGAAACTGAAAAAATATACAGTAGAATAAAAAAAAGAAAGTGGATAGAAAGGGCTATGCAAGGGTCCTCCAGCATAAGTGAATATAATTAAGAAAAAAATAATGAAATTATTTCAGAATGGTGGAAGAAGTATATTAGAGATTAGTATGGTGGAATTGAAATGAATTCTGTAAATGTTAATGTAAAAACTAAATGATGAAAATAGTTATAAATATTGTGAGAAGGTTAAAATAATTTAAGGATGCATGTGTTGACAGTGTAATTGGAGACATGTTAAAATATGTAACTGGAGAAATGTTAAAATATTTTTGCTTAAGGAGAAATTGTTCAGCATGTATCTCAAGTCTGTATTTGTGCTGGATGACTAGAAGAATGCTGTTATTGTTCCCTCACATGAAGCAAACTGTCACAAGGTTGAATACATAAACCACAGACAGATTTATTTGCCTTATTTCTATGCCTGCTAACGAAGAAGCAGAGTTTAGGCAGCTTATAGAATTTGCATAATAGACTGCAAAATCAGAATAAAGGCTATTAAAATAATGGGTAAAATAAAAGTTAGGATTAGATAAAGTACGGCCTAAATATGAACGGTCTTTTCCTGCTTCTGGAAAGCTATAAGAATCGGAGCCATGTGAACTTCAGAGGAGAAACTACTCTGAAGGGGAACTGCTACAGAGAATGCTCAATTATTATTATTTTCCCTCAGATGAAGATGTTTAGGTATACCAGGAAAAAGATTTCTTGTTTAATTTACTAATTGCCATCTGACAATCAGCCTCAATGTGAGGTTGGCCTTGTTCACTTTTCACTCCCAGTAGCATCCATCCCTGTTTTACAAAGTTTAGAAAAAATACACAAGGTGATGAACATACCAATAGTCCTTTCTCATCCTATTTTCCCAACAACAGCAATCCTGCAAGGTAAATTGGGCTGAGAAAGAATGAGTGGCCCAAAGCCACCTAGTCAGCTATCGTGCCTAATGGGATTACAACTCACAGTCTTACTGGGTCTATCACCTTGTTCACAATTTAATTTATTACAAATAGACCTGACAGTGAATCATCCTGAGTCTGGAATGCCTAGCCAGTAATCCAGTAATCTAATTCCCAGATTGAAGCTGGGAGGCCAGAAGTAAGATTGGAATCAGATTTTGAATTTCTTTTCCCCTGAAGCAGCTTGAAAAATTAATCGGTTAAGTTTGGCAGACTTCTGATTGAAAGAAGTACAAGCTGAACTGTATTTTTTGCTCTTCAACAGACAATAAAATAGTTGAATTAGAGAATTAGATTTAGAGAAAGTATGATAAGTATGATTAAATAATGGATTTTTTCATGGAAATGGAGTTGAAGGATTGTTGCTAAATGGCTTAAGAGTAGAGTATATGATGAAAGTACAACATGAATGAAGGTAAATTGCATTTTTAGAAAATAAATACTGAGTAGGGAGAAAGACAAGGATTATTTAATGTATTTATGGATCAATGTACAAAAAATGTTTGTGGTGATGTTAGAGGTATGCCGGCAGGAAGTGTGAACACACACACAAGTTATAAATAAACTGGAACAAGTAGATAAATGTTTACTAATGATGAGGATATGGTAGAGACATTTTAATATATTATGTCCAAATTCTTTTAGGAAAATAACAAATAACATGTAATTTGATGACATCAGTGAATGTGTATCAAAGTAAGTAAAAATCATGTAATAATTGTATGCTTCTGTCTCCTTTGTTCCTGGAAGTGACACTTAGCTATGTCACAAGAAACAAAAAATAATAATGTGAATAATGGGTGGTAATGGGTGAGTTTTGAAGTATGCATGTGTCATCTATGGTCAAAAATGAATGGATGACGAATGAATATAAATTATGTAAATATAAAAATGAATGACCAATGTGAAAAAAAAGTTAATGGGATGGTTTAGGTATGAATATATGAAGAATGTGAATGAACTGAGAGGAAAAAAGAGAAGACTAAAATGTTCTGGCTGGACAGCGATGATGGGATTCTCAGAAGGGGAAAGAGGAAAAGTTATTAAATAACAAAACACAGTGCATGGTCAGGGAGGAGGCAAAGGTGGTTTTGCAAGGTTAACAAGTTATGTAGATGTGGTTTTTTTTCTGAATTAGTAAATGGTGCTAAACTATATTTTGTCTTTGCATTTAATTTATTTTGCTTTCTATTTCTTATTTTTTTTCCTGTACTTTGTATGATACTGCTTATGCCCCAAATGATATGCACATATACAGCATGTGTTAAAGGTATGGATATATCTTTAGATTTTCCAGGATTCAGTACTGTACCTTGGTGAGGTCTTGTCAGATTATAATTTCATAGACATTACCTATGAGTTGGCTCTCAAAAGCAAGTAAAATATTGTAGTTTATAGTCCGCTGGTTGGTCTTTTCTCAAATATCAAAATCTGATGGCAAACTCAAAGCAGAACTATACTTATTTTCTACTTCTACAAATCCAGAATAACAGTGCCATTGTTTCAGATAATTATCTGCATTTATAAAGAAATCAATTCAACAGCATTGATTGTAAAAACTAAGAATGTTGTTATATCACAAAGTAGGGATATTTCTTTTCTTTTTATTTCAAAGAAGTATACCATTATACAAGAACCAGGAAGAGGAGAACCTCTTGATGTTGATGGAATCCAAGTTCCATACATTCTATCCAAAATGGCCAGGAAAGGGAGAATTAAAATGATAGTCCATTTATGAATCATAAATTAATGGCTGTCCTCTTTCTCTGGGCAGTAAAGTCATAAAAATATGCTGCATACTAACCTCAATCGTCTAATTTCTCTGGTGTTTGATCAGCACAGCAAATCTCAGATCTATGCTTCCCAGCTACTGGAGATGTACTGATTTAACCAAGATTACTAGTTATTGAGAATAATTTGCTGGGCAATTTTTTTCCTATTTCTCTCCATCCCTGGAAGCTAGACTACTATTTTCTTCCATTTCTACCCAAGGGCACCTTTTTTAGTATGCCTTTTGTTTCCTGACTTCTTTCTTAAGTCTGATTTGATGTTCTGCTGGCTCCAATCCTAGGGATATCCTGACAGTGTTAAATCTTCTGGATGTAAGGATTCTGTGCTTTCACAAGTTGCCTTATATTTTAAAATATCTTAAAATGTGTTTGAAATTTCAGCAATGAGGAATAATAAAAACACCAGTTTAAAAACAAAAAGTAAAACCAACCAGCACAGTCACAAACAGTACAAGATAAAAAAAAATAGAACCACAATACATTAACATTAGTAGAATGACAGTGTTAGTTAGTTTTACAGCAAATGAAAGATCAGAATTGTGTTTGAAGGAATAACATCACGGATCACATCACTCGGGGGAATTCAGGCTTATTGCAGTTTAGTGACAATTCACAGTGTATTATGTGAGAAATACTTCCTAACACATGAACCGAATAAGTACCAAATTAAATTAATTTAAAATAAACTCCCGTCACATATATTATTACATGTCAGATTGTGAATGATAGTTATCACTGATAATAAAAATATCAAGAGCATGCAAATTGGTTCTGATTCTGAATTTAAGACTTTGACTCAAGAAATTAGACTTATTTGGCTTCATTAATGAATTCAAATGATCTGAATCTTTTACCAAATTGAATCTTTGCATTCAGCTTTAAATAAACTTTTGTTCCTTATTATTAATTAGCATCACACTTATAAAAAGTTAAATAATTATATATTTTATTAGGAATATAGCCCAAACTAAATCTACTGAGTCAATAGGTGCATTATACAAAAAAACCCTATATTTCCTGATTTATTTATTTGTGGTACAAAAATGTGTGATACAAGAGATTTAAGAAACAGAAAGTTTAATGACACCAAAATATTTTTTCAATGTACCAGATAATTTATTATGGATGCATTACTTTTCATTCCAATGAACAGTTCTCAATATGTCTCTTATGTGGACAGAATTGTTCTTTGATCAAAAATAATTTACATCTATATTATAATTGATATTGGTTTTTATATATGTACACACCCATATATATTATATTAGTCCATATTAAGCCAAAATACTATTCAATATCATCCACAGTAATGTTGCATTGATCAAGACATTTTTGTAGCTGCATCCAGTGCTCACTAGAACAAAAAGGTGGATTGTAAATCAAATTAAAGGAATCTGATCCTATCATTATAGGGTGCAAATGGATGATAAATCAATATCTTGAAATGCACTTAGCACCCCTTCTATTAAATCTTTCACTAATCATTATAAATCTTTGAAAGAGAGAGATCTTTATTCATTCATAAAAAGACAATGAGAATTTAATTTTGATTTTTGGCAGTACAGCTAATACTTTTGTTGACTATGATTTAGATTAAAACAGGTTGATAACATCATTATGTTCTAAATTGTAATTATTAAGTATTCACCCCAGTCTATTGTGTAGCAAGACTTCCTATATGCTCAAAAATCTGTTTTGCACAGGAAAACACATTCCAATATATTGTCTCTAAACTGCAATTTAATACCATTTTTCAAAATCCCAAGGAATAGTTTGAGACTTGAAGTAACAGTTCCTTACACAGCTTGTCTAGATACAAACCTTCTTCCAAACTTTATATAAATGATTAGAAACTTCACCAGCAACCTTAATTTATAAAAGAACAAAAAAGAACACATAACAATTGTTCATTAATTTTGATAATTGTATACTTAGATTTTCATTATAATTCTCTAACAGCATTAAAATTTACTGAGTTAATTATTGTTAGATTATTAGATTTAATAATTAATAGTACTGATCTTTCACCTATCTCAATTAGAAATACCCTCAGAATTGATTTTATTTCCATTTCTTATATTTCTTCACATGTGTTTTCTATAGGCCCTTTCAGAAAACTTGATAAAATGAATTTTGCTTGTAATTAATATATATATCTGCATTGGATCTGAGCTTTTTTTTTCTTCTGTTTTATTCTTGTAATATAGAAATAAGTACTATGATACAATTATCATATTTGGTAACAGGAATAACTTAGAGAATTCTTTTCACTTAATAGTTATATAGTTTCTGTTTTTAAACTAGAAACAGGTTTTGACATAATTAATTGACTAATTAATGAGTAAATTCTTTTATTGAAAAAAGTTGGCTCATCAATAAAGTTGCTAAATGAGGAGATGAATCAAGCTAAGGAATATAGATCACATAAGGCTGAATTTGAATTTGAATTAAATTTCTATTGATTATGTAGTTCCAACCAATTTCTATGTACCACAAAGTAAAGCCCTGTGAGAAGTATATTATTTGAATACTGCAGTTATGCAGTGCTATGTGTGCAAAAAGATTCTACCATTGTCTGTCACTCGTCCAAAACAGGGAGAGAAGAGGATAAACAAGTAAAGTTGAATCCATAATGCTGAATAGGGTTCAAACTGGACTATATGGTCACTAAACCAGATATAATCTTATGCGATTCTAAAGTCTTAGCATCTTGATAGAATAATATAACCTGTTAGTTTTGCTTACATATATAAATTATTGAAAAAGTTAGCAAAATATGAAATTGAACAAATGGCATGATGTCACCTCATGTAAATATAGTTATTGTGAAGGATATATATTTAGAGGGTTTAAGAAAAATCTCTGTCCACTCAGTCTGGACACACAGATACACATGCAGTGATTTACCAAAGTAATTTGGTAAAATAAAATATGTGAATCTCTTGTCCTGAATACAAATCTTTTTTTTTTTCTTCAGAGATTTGTCCATACTGTATATAATTGTGAGCATTAGCTATGTTTGTGATGGGTGTAGGACTCCCAAAGAGATGCTTACTTCTTATAAGGAAAGACAAAGTCTATAAGATCATTTTTATGCCAATAAAGGTAGTTTGCAGAGAAGTAAAAACTTGTATACTATGAAATAACATAAACCAGCCCTGATGCTTTCATTTCAGATATGGAGCTTTATGTGAGCGCCACCATATATTAAATTTATCTGTGCATGCATTCATAAATTGTGACATTACAGTAAAGTGGCATATCAGAATGATACTGGTTTCCAGATTCAAATGTAGATCAATATCTCTGTTATTCAGTTTATATACATTTTGACAGATCTTGGGTTTAGTTTGTCAAAATCCTATATATGCCTCCAAGGTGAAGCTTATGTTTTCAGATTTGTTAACTTTGAACCTCAGCACAAGATCATGGACAATTCCTACTTTCAGATATTGTAGATCCTTGTCTACCTACACAATATGTTGTGGCTTTCTATAATTAATTAGAATTCTACATCAATTCTTAGATATAAAGGCATTTTAATGAATGATATTTTTCTACAAACAGCAGAATCTACAGTATATTTGTGCATTTGGAAAGCTGTAAATATAAATTATCATAGACTGGAAGAAATCATTTTTTGTTTACACATATATTATTAAACTCTTAAATATCAGTAAAAAACTATTGCATATCTATTTGCTTTAAAACATACAGTACAATTTATTAAAATTAAAGCATGAAAATAAGTAAATAGACTGTATATTGCTGATACATTTATTTCTTTGAGTTATTATTGATTTATAGTTTATATAAATCTCTATACTCCAATGTTCAAGGTAATTTACAAGAATCTACAAGTTACCTTCAATTAGCAATAATTCCATATTTGTTCCAAAAGAGATTCATTATAAACATAATACAGATGCAAAGAAGTTTTGCTTTATTTAGCTGAAGGTAAGTGAAATAAATGTCATTTTAGGTAGTGAAAAAGCATTCAGATAATAACTGATGACATTTAGCAAGTCAAAGAACATTTAGTGTTAATAGTATTGATAGCAATAGTTGAAATTGCATGCACATATCTCTTCAAAACTAGTTATAATGATTTGCATCCATTCCTTGGCAGTGAGAGAATAATAAAGGGCCAAAATATTAGTATATTTGTAACAAGTTTTAGAGGAAAACATATGCATAAATGCTTAGATCGGGTGAAAAAAAATCACCTGTTTCAGATTTTTTGAGCATGTAGTTCTTAGTAATTCTTGCAAATTTGTAAAGCTTCTAATTATGTAGGAGCTATATATTTATCATTAAAAATTACATGAACTATAAGAAGTTGTATAAGATTTAAATTAAAGATGAATGTTACAAGAAAATAATTAGATAACTTCACACTAGTGCTGTCAATTGGTACAAACCATGAAGTGTATATTGTTACAGAAATAGTGAAATAAATAGGATATTCATAAGAGGGAAGAATGTCCTTGCAAGTAGAGAATTGGAACAAGGGAACAAGGTAGAAACCACCTAGTCTTTTTTCTTTAAAAAAAATCAGATTTATGCCATTTATTCGTAGTACACTAAGATGAGGAACATTTTCCTGTATTTTGCATTTTCCCACAAATGTTCCATTTACTTATTATTGGTTTACTTATTTTGTCAGTTTCATCAATGTACGCTCTGATGGCTTCTTTTCTCTAGGCTTGTTTGAAAGATGGATGGCTTCAAAGTCAGTTCAAGAAGCGTTCTATCCTTAACCAGCTTATGGCATGCTTGCAGAATCAGCTAACGTCTATCTTTTTAAAATAGAACACCAGGATACAAAAAGCCGATGTTCAGAAACTATTCAATAAAAGGGGGGAAAAAAATCACAGAAATAATTTACTGTCTGGGATACAAGGTAGAAGTGTCTTTAAACTTATTTTTTGGGAAATGGAATTGGTGACTTTTATAGTTGAGCAACTATAAGAACTATACCATTCTCCTCTTCTAATATATGAAATAAATTATTCCAATAAGTCAGCAACAAAAATAGAAAGTGTCTCTTCAATTACTAATCCTATACTGTAGATTTTAAAAAACAAGGTGAGGCTGTCCAAGAGATTATAATTCTACACTTGGCTCTGTCTCCAATTAGTTTTGATACGCAAAATTCTAGATGAAAATTTTAGTGTATGAAAATGACTAGCAAAATGACTGAGCCACCCCTCTTGAAATTCCTGCTTAATGTAAAATGATCAATGCCAGCAACTGTTTCCTCTTATTTTGAATTCACTAACTTGAGATCAGATCAACAAACCTCCTGAAAACAGCAAACAATAAAATATTGATATGGGTTCTGATTAAACTTTTAGGACCTACTAGTGTCTTATCTTCTTTCTGTGACTGATGAAGAGAAACCAACAGAGAGGGGGGGGGAGAGGGAGAGGGAGGGAGACTTAAGCAAAAAAAAAAAAAAACCTAAGGAAAGTCTGTATAGCTAATACTCCATAAAATAGGTAATACCCCATAAAATGTCTATGGAAATTCTTAGTCATCCAGGTCATGGCTGTCCCAAAGGAGAGGCAACTGGACTTTCTGGTTTTTCTTTGAAGACGTTTCACTTCTCATCCAAGAAGCTTCTTCAGATGAGAAGCAAAATGTCTTCAAAGAAAAATCAGAAAGTCTTGAAAAAGTACCTTTGGCGCACACCATAAAATCTTCACATTACTGAACAAATGGAATAATGAAAAACAAAGATATGCTCCCCAAGGCAGTAAAATCTATTCATCTACTTGTATTTGCATGATTTCAAATTGCTAGGTGTGCAGGAACTTGGGCAAGTAACAGAAGCTCACCCCATTGCATGGAGCTCGGGTCTTGAACCTGGGCTGTCAATCAATGAAGAATCTAATATATCCGCAGAAAATATTCTTATCATCTAACCTTTGTAAACCAAAGTCCACTTAAGAAATTATTAAAGAAATATAAAATGCAAAATGTATGTGTTGAAAGAAACTCCCAATATCCTTAGAACTCCAATACAAAATCAGAATAGGATTGAGTAGCGCAAACATTTTCAAAAGTAAAGCATTATTTGGCATTCTCTGAACTGGTCTGAACATTAGAAAGTAGAGAGAGAGATGTAGCTAGAAATGGCTTCTAAATCAATATGAAATATTTTCCATTTTGCCTATAAAATTACACTGCTTCACAAATATGAAATATGCTTTTGTAAAAGGAGAAATTTTAAATGGAAAGAAATACAAAAAAGTATGAAACAATGTATTTTGAAGGGTATGGCCTAGCATTTACAGAACAAATATACAGAGAACACACATACATTAGACATACATAATTAAGTATGCTACAAAGTTTATTACAAAAAAAGAGTTCCATTCCACGATGATATCCAAGTTTGGGATCTCTACATATTGGATCTTATCTTAGACCACTGGATCTTAGTGTCCAGTTGGATCTTATTCTTGGGCAGTGTATGACAGAACATGAAAATAAAGTCAACCTTTCACACACCTTTCCACATTTCTGTGGTAAACAGATTGAACTAAAGATGAATGAGATATGTATAACAATAATTCATGAAATTAAAAACGCATAGATCTTATTAATCTTATTAATCCTATACCTGGCATTTATTTTATAAAGATCAGTTATGCACCATTTTTCAGTATTGCTTTATTGAAGAAGTGACTTTTATGTTTTGTGCCAATTGACAGCCCCTCTGGAGAAATCTACATCAATGACCTTGAAAGAAGAACTGCATAGGAGGTGAGATAATGCAAAGCATGTGACAGCAATATCAGGTCTTTCAAGCTCATCTAAAAAGCATGAACAACACACTGTGTTGTCCCTTGTGTTGGATATTCTCTGAACTTGGTTGGGGTAATAGTATAAATAACAACCTTTGTTTAGAGGCTTTAAATACATTGGGGCTTATTGGACCAGTTGAACAAAAGTAATATAGGATACCAAACAGCATCTATAAAAAGAAAAGAACAATCCACCACCAAGATGCATGGAAGAGCCCACATAAACCGATTGCTTTCTTAAAAGCCTTGTTAATAATTTCAAAGAGAAGATGGTAAACAATGGCAGAATTATAGTGGTGATAGCTTTTGAATAAAACAAACCAGATCATGTCCTGCTGTAGCCAGCATACAGTAATTTCAGAATTTGCTTACCTGCCCAATGAGTGGGTCAGAGCACAAGGTAAACCACTAAACAGTAGCAAAGAAATACCTGAATACTTAACTCTTTGCTGTTGTTTAGTGGTAATTAATTCTTTCAGGCCAGACCTGTACTGATAGAACATCCAGTACTGTGCCATCATTGCTTCTTGTTGTCTCCAAAAGCAACTTGTGTATGCAAGTTTCAGGCAGAAGGCAGTACTGTTCCTCAAATATTGGTACTATTGAACACATGGTGGAATGAGGGGTTTGCCATGAGCCCAGAGAAATCTCCTTATAACCTTGGTAGAGAACATTCTTAAGAGGTCCTTAAAGTGCATAAGTGCATAAATGCATAAGTGCACCAGTGTGTCTATCATCCCTGTCTTACTGTCCCCACTTATCTATATTTACTTCCTTTGTTCATGTTTTTGTTCCTACCTATACTTGTTATCTTGTACATGTTTGACAAATAAATAAATAAATAAACATAGAAATAACTCTTTGGTAACAAATAAATAAGGAAATAAGACAGTAAAGCAGTGTCCTGACTTGGATTTAACTGTGTCAGCAAAACACTCCAAAAATCATTTCTTTATCTTGGGAGAATAAAGAAATTGCTTTTTGTTTTCTTATCATTTTGTTGATGATAGCTATAACAGTTTTGAAAATTTGAGGAAGGAAAAAAAGAGATAATGAATTCTCATAGGGAAACCACATGCTTAGATGAAAAATCAACAACATGAATGCACAAATCAATTTTTCTAGATAAAAAGAAGATTTGCGAACAAACTAGAAAAGATAAGTTTAGGTTGGAAATTTATTACATTACATTAAACGTTCAAAAAATGTTCTCCATATATAGAAACAAATTTATTTCATTTGCTGACCTTGCACAAGGCCTCTGAAAAACAGGATTCTTTCAAGAGGATGGCAATGTTCTTGGGATAGCTTGACACAAAACTTATCAAATTTACTTTTCTTTAAAATGAAAACATTTTTTTTTTTAAGGTAACAGAAATGGATGGGATAGTTCTAAGCCCTCACACAATACTGTGAAAATTGTTCATAATAAGGCACTTATGAAATGTTACTATCACCATTTCAAATTATGAACAACATAGAGCCTTATCCAAACTAGCCCACTTAAAAGTATTATGGTCTATAATGCTGCATATTAAAAAATGATGTAAATAATGATGACAGGATGCAGCCTCAATTTAAAATAGTCATGGTCTCTACCTGGCATGATGGTAAGTACTAAAGGAAGATATTGTCCTTATATCAAAATTTGTTTATATTAGTGTATGGAATATGAAAAACAACACAATTTGGAGGAGTCCGATCTTTTGCAGAAGAAAACAATAATAGTCTTTTAATTTTATGATGTTTTATTTTAATACATTATTCTCTTAATTTTGCTGCCAATGTAAATGATTTTAATAAAATGATATGAGTCCCTAGCAGTATTTTGTTCAATCTGAGAAAAAAAATTAAATTTACATAAGTTGCTATGGGATGGAAGTGGTGGAGAAAGGCCTTGAATATTCATTTCAATGTGCCTTGGTCAGCTTATGGTATAGATAACAATATATCTGCCTTTAAATATCTACAGTCTTGCTGATTGTACCATCTGGGTCACATTAGGAATACAGTGGTACCAAACTGGTTACCTTTTCCATTCCTTCTTCCTTCAGGCTGATGATATCCAGATCAAAATCTTTCCTTAAACCATCTGTTTTGTTGAAAGAAATCCGTCCTGTCAAACCACTCCAGTGGCCCTAAAAAACAGATTGACAGGGAGATAGAAATATGATTATGTGCAGTATGTTTAGCTTTTATAAATCTATCAAAAATAGATGCATAACTTCTATTCCTTGATATAACTAGATTGAACAGTGTAATTGTCTATGCAGCACAGGAAATAGCAAAACAGGGCTCCATATTGTTTTTTTATGCCAAGAACAATCCATATATACCTCTTTTATCAGATTCATAAAGCGAGTTCCAAACCGCCATGGCTTATGCCGGTGACACTGGAGGGAACTGACTGTCATTTGGAAAGCCCGTTGGGACGCCACTGCTACCATATAAACGGCATCATACATCAAAGCTGATTCTGTCTGTTTTGGGGAAAAGACAAAAAGACATAAGAGGAGTAGCATATTTTTGAAATCTTATTTTCTTCTAAAATGCTAGCTATTTCTCCTATTTTGTGTTTTCTGCCAATTTAATAATTTTTGTTTGTACATTGAAACCAACTCAGCGGGGGTATTCAGCAGGTTCTGACCAGTTCTGGAGAACCAGTAGTGGAAATTTTGAGTCATTTGGAGAACTGGCAAATACTGCCTCTGACTGACCCTGCCAACCCCATCTCTTCTCTGCCTCCCGAGTCCCAGCTGATTGGCTGGTTCTTCTTTGGTTGCCCTGCACAGGAGAATGGAGCTGGCAAGCAGGTTAGTGGGGTGGGGAGGGAAGGGGGATTTTGCAGTAACCTTCCCCTGCCATGCCCACCAAGCCACGTCCACAGAACTGGTAGTAAAAAAATTTGAATCCCCCTACTGAACCAATTGCTTGGACTTTGAGAAGTATATAGAAAAGCAGAAGTAGAAAAAGTAATAGAAACAGCATAAAAGAAATAGAGATTTTTACATTTTAAAACTTTACACTTTTAGCCAAACTGTCTTCAGAGCCTTTCTGAATGTTAGGAATGTTGGGGTCTGTTGTAGTTCTTGGTCAGTCTTTTCCATGCTATGAGGGCTGCAGTAACTCATTTCTTTGTACAGACAATTAATAAAAAAGTTGAATAGCATATGGCCCGTACAGAGGTCTGGGCTGGTGGCACTTGTCCCACTGCCATATCCAAGTTGCTATGGAGCTATCTATGACCACTCTCTGGATGTTGTCATTCAGCCAACTATGAAGTCATCTAATAGTTGTATCATTGCAATTTAACAAATAATAATGAGTAACTTTATTGAATAGTAAAGTTAGGCACACAATTTCTATGACATTTTTCAAAGATAGTAAGCCAAAGTATCTCAAGTTGTGGCTCTTGTTGCATTTCTGTCATGGTATTTCCAAGTATGTTATTTCATAATCTGCTGGAGGAACTTGCCCAATTTCATCCTTTAGGAAATTCACCCCCAAATTTGGTGCCTTTGAGTTGTTGCTGACTCTTGGTGACTACCTGGACTTGTCTAAGCAGTTTTCTTAGCAATAGTTTGGAAGGGCTTTGCCTTTTTCTAGTACTGAGAGAATATGACTGGCGCAAAGTCATCCAGCTGGCTTTTGTGCCCAATGTGGGGTGAGCCGTGGTGGCACAGAAAGGGGTGTGTGTGGGAAGCATTTCAGAAGGGACCCTCCCTATTTTCTGGAACGTACAAGGGCACCTTTGTTTTGTGAGCTGTGTTAGCAGCCAGTACACTTCTGAGTTAATTGAAGATGCTAGTTCTAAAGCAATTCATGGCATAAGGGCTGGTAATTTGAGGATTCAAACAGTATTGTCTGCCCATCCCATACATTCTGAAACAGTTGCCATTAATTAAACGATGTCACCTGATGGGTTTCAGGAAATGGCCTCTTTCAACTATTCTCCCCAAGATTCATGCAGTCGTTGTCCCCTCCCACTTCGATTTAAGCAAGCAATGAAATCCTGGCTCTACCCAATGGTGAGCATTCTATCCCTTGTGTATTTTTTTTTTAATCTTTTGAATAATTGGTGGATTTTTTTTTCAGCCTTTTTTCCATGTGATTTCTTTGTTTTTAATCTTTTGTTGTTAGTGTTGTATTTCGTAAGCCACCTACAATATGACAAGCTGAGGCAAACTGTAGATCCAAACTCAATCAATGATTTTTTTTAGCAGAGTTAGACTTTCAGCTGATGTAAACTAAGTTAAAATTTTCTGCTATCACACGCTTCTTTGAAAGATACCAATATTTTCTGCTGTCCAGGCAGATAACTTCCATAAAGTTATCACTTGTGTTTCTCTTTCAATTTATTCTTATCCAAACATTCACTGCAGGGTTTTCTTCCTATGGTTTGTGAATTTCTGTGTAGGCTATGCTTTCTTTATGCAATACATTTATAAATTATCCATGATAAAATAGCAGTAGACCTAAGTTTAGACATTTGTTTTCCAGACCAGCAAGTCCCTGAATCAGGTCACTAATTAAAATTTGCTAACAGTAAATTATTGAGATGAGAGCCTTACATTGTGTAATTGGTCTAACCTCATGATTTGGTTAAAAAAAATAAAACCTGTAGTGAAATGTAGCATTATTTATTATTAAGCTTCACAGTTAATTCAAAAGTTAATTATTCAACCTAAAGAAGAAAAATGGCTTTGATTGTTTTTTGAGGCAGATTGTTATATAATAACCAGCTAATATGTACTGTTGTGCTATTCTGATTTTTTTCAATTCTTAAATAACATTTTCCTAAAGGGGGAAAATGTAGTAGGTTACAAGTACAAAGTTGTGTCATTTTCCCTGACATACAAAATTTAATGAACGAAGCAAGAAAGCTGCATGATTATCCTGATGAGATAATAACAGTATTGTTTAACGGCTAAACTAATCCACTTTGTAGTTACATGGATATGCCAGCCTTGTAAATCCTTCCGGAAATTAACAGATTGCTTCTCTGTTTCATTAACCTACATAGATTATTGCAAAACATAGGTGATGTGAATTTATCAGTTACCTTTAATTGCAGCACAACTCTGGAATCCCTTTGAAGTCTCAATCAATACAAGGAATTAGTATTACATGTGAGCTATTCCTGTACTTTGTTGTACTTATATCCTGCCTTTCCTCTAGAAGCATAAGGTTGAATTTGAAGACTGGCCCAAAGTCATCCAGTGACAATCTGAATATTGATCTTCCTATCTATCTATTCCTTCCTATAATTTCAACACACTACAAGCTCCAAACTTCTCACAAGCAGGAATTTAACCACAATCCACACAATGTCAGTACAGTGGACACCAGCACCCGTTGCGCCACCTAGTCCTGGCTATATGGCAGCGTGGAATATGGCTTCCAAAGCTGACATACATCAAAAATCACTTTGAATTGTTTAACAACATAGTTTCTTATTCTTGTTTTCTTTAGAATACTGGATGTAAGAGAACAGACCTTAGGATATGAGAACACCATCAACATCATAGCAATTGCAGGTAGTTCTCACTTACTGATCACAATTAGTATCAGCAACTTCATCATTAAGAGGCACAGTCAGTAAGTGAAACATCATGCTCTTATGATAACATAAATTCTTGGCCCAACATTGTTTTCAATGCATTTGCATTGTACTGTAAAAAGTAGGTTTCTGAGTTGTCTCCATTTCTATGTCATTGCTGAAAATTCAGAATTGTTAAAAAAAAACAAAAACCACCACCTTACAGAATTGTTCAAAGGCATTATGGTTACTTTGTTCCAAAATTACCTCTGCTTCCAGCTCAGTTGTGGCTATCTATAAAAGTATGGCACCAACTTCATGTACATAAACTACATAAAGTTTCTTTCTGTACAAAACACTTTGCCCTAGAGAAGTGTTAGACTAATTGCATCTTGAAAGGAATCCATTTGCAGCCTGATTTCAATTGGTTTAACTAGGCACATGAATGCAATTAGATTGGTTCCAAAAATGTTCCAGATCTTACAGAGGTGTGAATGTACCATGTGTATGCAGCTCATTAATATAACCATGTCTTTGAATATGCACACAGAGTAGCTGCAATAATCTATTGTTTTTTTATGTCACCAACTCACTTAGAATTTGCTTGTCACTAAAATAATATAACTTCTTATTTCATTTCAGATGGTGTTGTGTCACTTACAGTCATCATGCCATCCAGGAGTCCAGTCTCTGGCTTGGGTGGTGCCTGTAATCTTTCCATTGACCACTTGTCAACAACAGAAGCCACTTGTGTATTGTCAATGTTGAGCAGACGAAATCCAGTCATATTGACTCCACTGTATCTATAGGGTTCCAGGTCTAGTGCAAACAAATCCTGTATTACCAAGATTTTGTTGGTGATACAACAACAAAAGGAAAAGACAAGGGTATTAAAAATAAAATGAATCATGTTGTATTACTTCAATCCAATAACATGAAAATGCCACATTGGATTGATAGGACTTTATATCAATTATGTAGCTTCCAATTAGTTATCCTTGTATTATTCTTTGAGCAGAGAAACTGAAATTGTCCAATATAGAAAATAGCATTTTATATCAACAAATATCACCCATGTAGACTTAAAGCTGAAAATATACAGCTGAATGTGAAATCTGATCTTTGTCTTTCACAATTTCTGCCAAATCCCTACTGATATTGAATATGTATTTATCTTCTTAAGTCCAAGTTTTCTAGACACTGCATATATTATTAAATCTAAATAATGATGAGCTGAATATGATTTATTATATATCATAGATATGATTTGCGTTAACACGGAACTCCAGATATATGCAATGTTATATTCTAAGAAATGTGCCCAGGAGTATATATGCTGATTTATAATATTTTTGTAATAATGTTTCTGCTACAAACATACACAGAGAGGAGGGGGAGACACCTACCCAGAAAACCATGACAAATTAATTGGTTAATCCCTTGAAAGAGTCAACAATATAAACAATATAATTTTACAATTTAGAAGCTTGGTATTTCTCTTGCCTGCTACCTGGGGTAAGTTGTTGTCACTTTATCTGATGTATGTATTAGATCAGCAAAGAAGCAGTTCCATGTGAATTAAAGGTTTGCAAAGCAAGAATATAAGGGGTAATTTGAGTGATATTAATTTGTTTAACACATTTCAAGATTATGTCATAAATAACATAACATGAAAGACTATAAATTATTTGTCAGGATGTGAAATCTGTCTGTCCATCCATCCATCCATCCATCCATCCATCCATCCATCCATCCATCCATCCAGATACTACTATATGCTTTGGTTTTAATTAGAACATTCTCATCTTTCATAATGGTAGAAATAATTAAGTGAGGGAAAAAGGGAAAAAAATAGGTTCTTTATTTTTTAAATATTTTCTCAATGTGAGAATGTAACATTTATGAAAATTATTATTAATAATTTCTTTTCCAGGATTTTTTTGGTATATGTTTTATTTGCAGTTTTTCTTTTAACAACCAACATTTTTTTGTGGACATTGCAATGAATTGATTAACATATTTTTCAGAGTGGTCACAGTAATAATACAATTACGTACAACATTTTTATCTTCCAACTTCTGGCCTTAATGTGCTCCTTATAATTATAATATATTCTTTTATATATCAATATATATTCTACTATTTTCCCAAATTAAACTTATTTCTTTATTTTTCCCATTTGTTGGGGTTCATATTTACTTCCTTATCTTTAAACAATGCTATTCTCTCTTTATGATTTTTTATCACTTCCTCCAAAAATATAAACATTAATAACATTTCTTCATTTCATATACTTATTAACCATGAGGTCAACCAGAAGTGATTTCCAGGATATTAAAGTAGAGTTTTTTTGTAACAATATTGGTTTTTATGATAATTTTTGTACACAAAAGATAACCCACTGATATGATAGTAATTATTTGAGAAGTTGCCCTTATTCATTTTGGAACATCTCTGTCTTCATTTAATAAAATCCTTGAATAATATGGATTGATCTAAGTCAATAACATCTTGAAAGCCTAAATAATGGCACTGTGTTTGATTCAGTTAAAATATAACCAGAAACAATTAAGGATACTAGTCTGATTTTGTGACCAATTCCTCCATTTTAGAGAAGTCCTATGGAAACCTTAATCAAGACTAGTTCAGCATTCATCCACCAGACATACTCCATCTATGTTGATTACAAAAGTCTATTGTTTGTAGTCAACGTGATCACAAGTTCCCAGAGTTCCTGGTTGGAGATAAGTACTCTATGACAAAATAATTACAAATTTCATAGTAGACCAAAAATGTTGGTCTTTTCCTCCTGCCCAACATTTTCAAGGATATGCTGTTGGAGTGTGAGTTCTTCACTGAATTAATTAGCAGATTGAAGAGAGATGAAAACAGAGTGAGTGAATTGCTGATTGTGATGGATATGCCACGCCACCTTGTTTACAAGATCTGACTATGAGCTACAGTCATTTTTTAGCAGAATTTTATTTTTTGCAGTTTACTATGGCTATACATAGAACACTGCCATAAAATAAGCTCTTCAGCTATTTCTGTGATAATGGTACAAATAATTACTGAAGTATCTTACCAGAGTTGTAAAAAAGTAGTGATAATATTCAGTCATCATTCCCATGGAGAGAACCTGAGAAAGAACAAAGTGGGGAGATGAACCAAAATGAAAAAAAACAACACAGTACATGTAATAATAATTGATTCTGTAATGCTGCAAGTTTTCAAACTTTTTCAAACTGCAGAATCGATCAGTTCTTTTTAAATTCTCCTGAGCCAGAAGCAAAGCTCTAATCATAGAAAATTGCCTGCATTCACTTTATTTTTCTTCCTTTCTTTTTTTTTCTTTGTTAGGGCCTCAGTCTAAGGAATCCCAGCAAGCTCACATCCTGGAACTCTAAGGTTGTGCAGAACACAATCTGAAAAATGCTGCTCTAATATACCTGTTACAATATCTTCACAGGCTGTGAAATAGTGCAAAGCAGCAGTGGAGGGCAGTATGCATGAAGCTGAAGAATGGATGCCTGATACTTGAAATGGCTTTACAATAATTACTGTAACCATAGGCAAGTCATCAGCACACCCTGTCCTTCAGATGAGGTCTTTTTGATACAATTTTAAGGTAAATAAATTGGTGTGGAGTGTAGTAATATCAAAGTAAAAATCTTTGATGCAGTTCATGGTGGGCAGAATGAAACAGCTGCCGAAGGAAGTGGATTTTGAATGTCAGGAAAACACAGCAATGATTTTAAATTTATTGTCATCGCATTTACACTGCCAGGAAAAGGAAAAGGTGTTAGTGGGATTCCTTCCCCTACCAGATACTAAATAACTTGACTGGCTTTGGTGTATCTTGCCTTATATGACAAGGGAAGCTGCTATTTGCTATTCTTCAAATTAGAGGCACAGAAACCAACACCAATGAAATAAGACAAAATCCTTAGTGCACATTGTATAACGTTCTGTATTATAATAAGAAAATCAACATGAGAAATATAAAATCCACAACAGGATGCTAACCTCCCATTATGTGTGATTAAGTTAAGATTTGGAACCAGCTGATAATGTCATTGTTTCTACCTTAAAAAATAAGTGAACTTTATCAGAGTAATAATATTTAATTTGGGAGAAGCAGTCAGTTCTAACCCTCAAGACAGCAAATATCTGGCTAATGTACTCATGTGTGGACTGCAGCTATAGTGCAGGCGGATTATATTTTCATAATAATAGTCTCAAACTGTTATCATGTACAAGGTTTTAATAAATATATGGCAGTCCATTTGACAGGAATGTCAGGTATTTTCTTTCTGTACAAAATACATAGCTGGATAAGCACAAATAATAATAATAATCAGAAATGTTCTGTAGCTTGGAACTCCAACAGCCATTTTGTGTACTCATAAGAAGAAACAAAGCTGAACAATGAGGTTTAAATTTTAACAACTATATATCATGGTATCATGATATATGATATCATGAATCATGCATATGCTTCAAGTACTATCAATCAAAATATCTACCTGCATATACAGGCCTTTCCTACTGTCTCAGGTAATTACAGCAGGTCACTGATTTTCATAGTAATCCCATATTCCCATATGATGAAAGAATAATAGAGCACATTTCTTTATTATCTGCCCACAGAAACCAGTTTAACATAGGCATCCCTTTGGCACTTTGTGGAAAGAGTAGGAAGGAAGCTGCTGTCATTCTAATGCACACAGAAACACGTAGTGATTGGCTTTGGAATGAAGTCACATTTCTCAGAGATATTCTGTCAAGCACAGCGTGCTAATGATAAACATGAACAACGCCAAATGAAGCAACATCGTATTTTCTTTCTGCCAGCCTCCTTCTGATAAAACATGTAAGTCTCCTTCCCTATGCTGAAAAAGCATATTTTATGTTTTACAGGCATGAATGAGAGAGAGAGAAGTTAGTCCTGCCCTTATTGATACTATTCTTGCTTATCAGCATGAGCTGATGAGTTTTCCATTTTCACTCTATTGTAATCCATTTGGACTTTTGCCTGAAATTTCTGGATAGAAATGTTGAATTCTTCCTCTTCAAATTTCAATATTATGAATTATTTCAATGTACTTTAGTTCTTTGTCTCAGAATACCAACATCCAGGCTAATTTTTCTAATTAAAGTTACCTGCGGGCATTCTTAATATATACTTCTGGTATAACTATTGCCTTTCCCATAGAATTTGTTCATGTTTCATTCATTATACTATATTCTTCTATTCATTAGTCTGTTTCTCTGGACAGTTGAGTAAGTTCTATCATGAGGAAAGTCAGTGAAATAGAACAGCCAAATTCGTCTCCGCCTTTTAGACATATGTCTCTTCATGCAGTACACATTCTTTTCTATCTGCTAAAGCTTAGCAGAAATCCTTGGAAAGATTTTTTTCTGTGTGTTCTGTTCTTATATATATTCTCATCCTGACTTATCTGCATAAAGCTGGAACCTCACTGAAGTTATCAAGTACCATTTCTCTCACTTCCCTTGCATTCCTTTATTACTTTTGTCAGTGTTGTGGTTTACTGGCAGCCGGTGCAGATGGCAGAGGTATCGGACAGTGAGGACGAAAGGGAACCAATCAGGGAGTCTGGGGAGGACTTGAATGAGGGTCCTGCATCTGATCAGGGATGGGGCCAGGACCATCTGAGAGTGGGGTGCTGCCTTCGGAGCTTTCGGAGTCTGGCAGCAGCGAAGCAGAGGACCCCGGGGAGCCTGTTCCCAGTGCGCATGTGCGCAGAGCTGCTAGAAGGCGAGAGCAGCTGAAGAAGAAGGGGCAACTCAGGATTAAGGCTGGGAGGTGATTGCCCCTCCCATAAGGGATAAAAGTCAGTCCTCAATGACAAAGAGCTTTGCAGGAAGCAAAGCAGTTCAGTAATCTCCGAGGCCTTCGTGAAGCTCTGTACTCTGGTCAGTTTTTCTAGGTTTTTGGGTTGGTTTATGTTAACCTTAATTGGATTCTGTTTCTTGGCAGCATTCGACAGCACTGAAAAGCTCTTATCTGGAGGAACTGTGTATAGTGAGTTTTGGCTGGGAATGCAAGTAATTCCCAGTGTTGCATTAAAAAGATTTTACTTTTAAATTCAGTTTGTGTTTTATTAAGTTTGACGAAGCCTAGGTCACAACAGTTAGGCTTCCTTCAACTTATTTCTTTCTTCCATGAGATACTAGCAGAATACAGAACAGTATTCAGTACTCAATACAGTATAGTGACTGAAAATTAACCAGTACATTTAGGCATACAGTTTTCACTTGGAAGCAGAATCTGAAATGATATAAGCTAAAATTGCTCATATAGCACAATTTTCATCAATAATAAATTATTTTCACATAACTTGTGGTTTAAAGAAAAAGTTAAGAGAATAGTAAATAAGTCAGAATGCATAAGGTCTCAATTATAATTTTTGGTACAATTTTTGCTAGGCAATTTTCTCAAGATCAGACAAGTTACAAATTCCATCAAGGGAAGTAGTAACTGATAGGATACTAAAATCCCAATGAATCCTTTCTTTGTGTGGAAAAAAATTGCCATTTTTGTGAGGTGTCCAGCCTGCTTTCCGTCAGATTGAACTAAAAATTCTCAACCTAATTGCAATAGAACAAGTCCTGGATTTTTTAAAAAAGAATTTACTTGTGTGGAATTCTGATATCTTAACTTTCAGTCCAATGCACAATCTCAAAGACACTAGTCACTTTTATTATCATTGGTTTATTGATAAAGGCATCTATTACACAATGAAAAGCCAATTACTTGTGGACTAGAATTTCAATATTTGAATGCCTGTCAGCTGAACTTTTATTCACATCCCTGTATGACTCTCACTTCCTCAAAATGTTACTTGAAATGTATTCCTGCTTTAGTAGAGGTGTCATTTCAGTGGACACTGAGATGCAGCTGCAGAGTCAGAAGCTGCAAATAATTCTGCAATCTTGATTCCATGCACTGCATCCCAACTATCCTATATTCTCCATCTAAGTTAGTGTGAACATATTATGACACTCAATCATAAATTCTTCCTTTAATGAACTTTCACAATTGAATTAATGCTCACAGTGCACACTATCAGTAACCTTGATAACAACTTTCTACCTGGGCATATCTTTAAGATTGATAAAGGTTCAGCTTTTCAGCATCTCATGGTACTTTCAGCATCTCCCTAATTGATATAATATATACTATGAAATAATATATTCAGTCTGAGTTATCGTGAATTTTGCCTAACAGTTTATGGGAGTAAATTAAGATTATCCTTAGCTAACTACATCTACGGAGAAAGACTCCATATGCACTGTATGCTGGTGTTGCAAAACAAACAAATGTACGCAAATGAAATTTAAAAATTAAAAAATCTACATGAGAGCTAAGAAGTCTAGTTATACATGATTTATATTAGTATTTTAGAATGATTGGAATTAATTATGAGAGATTAATTAATGAAATTAATTAAGAGATCAATTATTTATTAAGTAATTAGGCTATGCAAATAATATTTGTCTCAGAATTCAAAATATACCAAAAGTTGAATAGTGCTTTCTGCAAAGCATATCTTTGCTAATTTCAGATATATATTTCACTATATTTCAAATAGTTATTGCTAATGCTGTAGAAAATTCAATTCCTTTAGCTATTCATATTACCTTGAAAATGTACAGAACAGGTTAGTCTTGTCTAGATGATATATAACTCCAATACATTATGATAATCTTCCATCTGTTTATAATCATTGTCCGTAACAAAATTCAAGAAATTTCTAATGAGGCCTCTATTCTAGTTTATATTAGAGAGATAAATCATTGCTGCTTGAATGGGTTTTTATGTTTTTGATTAGCTTCAACCCTGGTTTAAATCACTAATAATATTTCAACAGGTGTGTGTGTGTATGTATGTCTGTATACACACCCACACCGACACACACCAAATGCTAATATTAGTTCATTTCCTCACTAGTTATTTATAGCATTTTTTTCAGTCATTCAATAACATCATGTGCTGACAGAACATCAGTGATGATACATATTGCCTCAACCATGTCTGAATAACTGGTTTGTGTACAAATAGCTTTAGTTTCTTCCCACAAATTCAAAAGTTCAAAGGTCTATGGTAGGGGTGTCAAACTCGATTTCATTGAGGACCGCAACAGGGTTGTATTTGACCTCAGAGAGCCAGAGTGGGTGTGACCAGCTTGATATCACTCTTGTCATGGGGGGGGGGCACCTGTGGTGGCCTGACTGCTCTGCCAGCAAAAAGAGGCTCCTGAGTTCCACTTTCAGCCGCAACAGCCTCCTGTAGCCTTCTGCCAGTGAAAACAAAGTTTGGAGGGCCCCCACAGAGCTTCATTTTCACTGCCAGAGGGCTGCAAGAGGCAGTTGCAGCCAAAAACAGAGTCTGGGAGGGCAGTATATGGCCCCCTGAGCCCTGTTTTCACTGGCAAAGGAACCATGGGGCTGGTCCTTCACTGTTTCCAGGGTGGCCCTGTGGGGCAGACCTAAGCACCCCATGGGCCGGATCAGGCCCCCGGGCCTTGAGTTTGACACCACTGGTCTATGGAGATTCTCAGTCATCCAGGTCATGGTTGTCCCAAAGGTGCTTTTTGAAGAGGCAACTGACTTTTTGGTTTTTCTTTGAAGATGTTTTGCTTCTCATCCAAAAAGCTTCTTCAGTGCTAAAGAAGCTTTTTGGATGAGAAGCAAAACATCTTCAAAGAGAAACCAGAAAGTCCAGTTGCCTCTTGAAAAAGCATCTTTAGGAAAAGCTCAAAGGATTCTAATACAAAATGCAGTAGGATTCAGTAGAAACAGCTAAAAATGTAACTGTTAACAACTGTCTGAATCTCACAGACATGGGTCTTGACCCTTTGATCTGGAGATAAGATTTCAACCAGATGTCAACACTTATTTGACCAAGAGGCCTCCCATTGTAATTATTGCTTTTGTCTACATCGACTGTTGCAGTTTTGTTTATGTCATCGATTGTTAACCTGTCACAATTTTGAACAAATTTATTTGCAGCCTTTACCTCAATCACACTGGCAGCTCCCAGGCAAACAATAATAAACTATAATTCTTCATAAAACAAGAAACTGTATCCATAAAACTGAAACCTAGGATATAGCTGTGGTACAAATACATGTTAGGAGGATGCAGCAAATCCTAGGATATTTTTAAATTTTTCTTTGCTGTAAGGTGTCAGGTATGCCTCCATGGGGGAATTAGGAGAGCTGTCACTAGCAATTGGACAAAAGTTTGTCATTTATTTATCATCCACCCTTTTTATATCAGATGTTTGAAATTGGGTATTTAGATAGTGCTTAAGCTTAGGACATGCCTAATCTTTATATCTCTTGAGATGCTATCCCAGAGGCCAATTTTTCAGTACCTTCTATATGCTGATCATAAATTTTAAACAGGTTTCTCCTTCAATCAGGAAGGCTGAAAGAACTTTCCTGTTCTCAGAGAGGGATTATGGTAATGAACAAAAGCTTAAACCTCCCCCAGATAATGCTGTGCTTTCTAACAATTGCAAACCAGATGATATGGCTCTTTCGCTCCTGCTTACCTGTTTCATGATTTCAGCTGCTGTTTCATGAGAACAATCAAATATCACAAAGAACTCTCTGCCCCTCTTCATCTCCTTGAGTAATGGCCGGGCATCTTTATTTCCAGAGGGCAATTGGCGTATTTTGATTTTAATGTTATACCTTGAAGGGGCTTTGATGAGCTCTTGCAAACGAATTAGACCTAGAAAATGACATCCAATCATTCAGAGGTCCTTTCTCTTCAATGAATCTTTGCTGCCATTTATATTCAACATTTAAATTCACTGTTCTGCAACAAGTGTTACATTTGCACCAACTAATTTGATAGACTGTAACTGATCACATAATTCATTGAGAAAATATATAGATTTTTTTTTCTTCCTTTTCTGAATTTTTTGAAATATACTTTCAAATGAGGTTTTGGGGACTGCCCTATATCAGAGAGTTTTTTTACCAGGGTCATTGGAATTTTTGTTTGTTTTACTATCGTTTTTTAATAATAAGAAAAATAAATTAAGAGAGAAGGCTGAAATATGTATTTGTATGTTAGTGCTATAGCATCTATATTTAGAAATAGAGTAGGAACTATACAGCCTTCAAATAAATTGACACATTTTCCTATGGGAGGGTTTTTTGTTGTTAAATGAGTTTTATAATTTAAAACAAGGGTGTGCACCCCAATCTAGATGTAGATTTTGAATAATATATAAAAAGCCATAGCCAAACAATGGGGAGGACTAGGATAAAATCTGCTATCTTTGCATTACAAATGGTAATTAGCCAAGTTGTATATTTCATAATTTTATTTCACATAAAAATTAAAATTTAATGGCAAACTTTGGAAAACATTTTACGACCTCATGTGTTTCATGTAAGTGCACCCTAGTATAAGTATTGTCATTAAAAAACCCCTCTTAAATATCCATGATCACTGAACAATTAAATAGTGCACAAATGGAATAATGTTTCATAAAAAATTCAGCAATTGAACTGTTGCAATACTCAGCAGTATTTTGTTTATTTTTTTATACTTTTTTATTACAGTAGAAGCATAAAACTAACAGGGAAAAAATAAATGATAATGAATAAAGAATTATCTATTGATTAAAATAAACTAAAGGAAAGGAAAAAAAGATCCTGAGGATAGCAATGTAAAATTAATTTACTGTTAAACATTACTAAATGCATACTGTTAATATGTAAATATCTTGCTTTCAGCTTCTTTGCTGGTCAGTTTTCACCAGCACAGGCATGTTCCAAATGTTGCTTTTAGTACCACGGACAGTGACCATGCAACATAGGGAATTTTGGAAGTTTTGAAAAGTCTATGACCTTTTTTGCCACAGTTGTTAAGTGAATCACTGCAGTTGTTAAGATAGTAACATAGTTGCCAAATGAATCTGACTTCTCCATTCACTTTGGTTGTCAAAAGGTTACCAAAGGTGATCACATGACCCCTGGACACTGCAACTGTCATAAAAACATGCCAAGCATCCAAATTCTGATGAATTGATAATGGGGTTGCTGCTATGGTAAGTGCAAAAAATGGTCCTAAGTCACTTTTTTCACTGCCGTTGTAATTTCCAACTGTCACTAAATTATTTCTTAAAAGTCAAGTCAGTATCGTACTCTAGTATCTGCCTTCCAACCATGTATGCAAATAATTATTCCTTTATGCATATATGTGCAAATACATATTTAAGACTTTTTCCTATTAAGTCAAAAGAGAGCCTCCAAAGAAAGAATTTCAATACAAGCAAGAGTTGTTTAAAAGAACCCTCTTACAAATGGTAATTATGGTAATGAATCTTTAGCAGATTTGTGAACGGACCCATTTGCTTTGCTTTGTATGGCTCCCTTTAACATCTGCAGCATAAGAATTGCACTAATAGAATGCAAACTGGTGTATAAAACAGCATTAAGTATCATTCTAGTTACTCTGATGTGCAGGAGTGATTGCTCTCCTGCCAGCTATTGTCTTTTGCTCAAGGCCTCACACTGAACCTTTTTCCTGGTAGACTGATTTTCTTCTTTCAGTTTTTAAACATCCACAAGCCAATAAAAAATATAAACCATTATGACTATTGAAGTGAAAATTATAGAAGCACTAAACGAATCTGGTTTTGGCTGGATCAAGTTTGTGGGCCTCCTGAAAAGATTTTGAATATAAAAGAAATGTAACTTGGCTGTAAATTGACAGCTTGGCTTAAGCTTCTATTGCCAAAAAGCTTCTTCAGTCATTCCTGAAGGTTATAATAACAGAAAAATGCATAATAATATCTGCTGTAATTACTGTTTAAAACTTCTTGGCTCAAAAAGATCTTTTATCATATGGTGTCCTCAGCAAGAAAAATTCACATTATAGCTGCTGGTGAATTTTAAGGGGAAAAAATGGATTAATTAAGGAAAAGTCTAATCCTACAGATCTCTCTTCATATCTACAAATATGTTCTGCACGGTGACAAGAAAATATTTCAAAAGGAAGAAGAGATTATATTACTTTTCAGCTCCTCCCTTATCATTTTTGGTTCTTTTCCCATTTAGCTCCAAAATAAATGAGAGCTCATCTGATCCAAATATGATCTTGTCATGAGGATTAGAAGGGATCTAACCCTTTGCTGTCTACTCTCTAGCTTGATTTGAACAGGGTTTTCCACTTCTACATGTTGCATGCTGGGAATGGAGAAGGTAGTTAATATCATTGGGTGGTTTTTTTATCCTCTGATAAACTGCAGACATGCCGTCCCTTGATATGCATCCCTGATGCAGACTCAAGGATAGAGTCTGAACTTGGATTCAAATGCCTATTTTGGACTAAAAAAAGTAACAGATAAATAATATATAAATGCTATGTAGGGAAAATATCATTAAAAGAATTCAATATTATTAAATTTGATACAAAAATGGGCTGGCAAACCTACAGAAAAAAAATAAAAATAGAATCCCACGGATTACTTGATTGAATGTCTATGCCATTTTCTTCTATTGGAGATGGTGCAGTGGTTAGAACGCAGTATTGCAGGCTAATTCAGCTCACTGCCAGCAGTTTGATTCTCACTGGCTCAAGGTTGACTCAGCTTTCCATCCTTCTGAAGTTGGTAAAATAAAGAGCCAAATTGTTGGGGGCAATATACTGACTCTGTAAACCACTTAGAGAGGGCTGTACAGCACTATGGAGTGGTATATAAGTCTAAGTGCTATTGCTATTGTTACTGTGTCCCTAATCATGTAAATGGTCGTCTTCTGTTTAGATCCATGGACCTTATTCCCAGGCAAGTATCTAAAGGACAAACTTCCCATAAAATGATATAACCAGCATCAAATAGTAACAAGATAAAACAAAAAAACATAATGAGAAAAACTATAAATGTCTTTAAACAATAAGCACCTCCATGAGACCTCTGTGATGAGGTACTATGAAGCATCATGGAGGTCTCCTGGAGGCCTTGCAAGGTGAGGTGATGTGTCACAAAGACCTGATGAAGGCCTCACAAACAGCAGCAATTGCCTCAGCTGGGCATGCTTCATCAGTGGCAAGAAGATAGAGAGGTTGGTGATAGTGGGGCGCAACATGTCTAGATATTAATGACAGAATGGCAGAGTGGAGGGCAGCCAAAAGAATAGAGATGAGGAGGATAAGTGAGGCGGGAGAGGTTTTTTTTTCCTTCCTGCAAGAGGTAGATTGGGCTGAGTGTCAATAATTAGCCCAAGTTCACCCATTGAGTTTCTGTGGCTCAAGGTTGATTTCAACCTGGTCTTCTTGGTTCTAGTCCAGTATGTTAGGTGAATGCAGCAGAAGAAAGCATAGTGCTTCCAAAGTTCTGATCTAATAATTATGCAGGCTGAAAATCAGGAGCAGGTCTATTAATATAATATTTTTAAATGTTTCACGATACTTACTTGTACTGTCTTCATATACAACTGTTACTATCTTCCAGTTGTAATGTAGCACCAAATCTAAAACTGCCCGGCTGATGGCTACATAGTCTGGGAAGAGGTTGATGTAAAAAGAGTCTTTGAGATCCACTGTTGGATGTTTCCATCGTGTCTGAATATGTGGAACTTCAAGTGCATTGCAAATGGATTGTACTGCACTGACTGATGAGCTGTGGGATGGTCCAAATAGTGCAGCTACCCCCAGAGCAAGCTGGTCACATGCTAAGAGAGAGAGCGAAAGAGAGGGAGGGAGGGAGATGGAGATATAACAACATTTCTAATTTGTAATGTTTTTTCTAACAAGAAAAATGTAATAAAATCATTTCTTTCATTTGAGGAAAAGTAATTACACAGCAGAAAAAAGGGAATTATGTGTTCATCAATTCTTCAATGTTTTAAATTAACCAATGAAGATGCTTCCTGTTACAAAATTCAGCATACAAAATAAATAAGTGCAGTAAAAACAACTAAAACCAAAAAATCATAGGCATACTAATTATAGGTAAATAGTATTAAATATTGAATCAAGTTTTTAAAATGCCAATGTCTAGTAATTTTAGTCTGATTTAATCAGCTATGTTTATTGAGAATTTCTCAAGATAGGTTTAAGCTCAGAATTTTATAACAAATACTTATTTATTTTATTTATATAAGCCCAAAATAACTAATTATTTTGAATATAATATGTATGAGTAAAGCTTTCAATATATCTTGATATATGAGAGTAATTGCTTTATTTTTATTTAATCAAAATACTAATTCTAATTTCTATTTTGTCTAGATCATCCCATGTAAACACATTTTTGCACTGTATACACACAGAAAGTAACAATATATTTTTAAAGTTAACAAGAGTTTGAAACATCTGAGGAAATAGACAGTTTTTCCACACACACAAATATTTTTAGGTATAACTATGAATAACAATTTTGTCTGACATACTGTTTTCAGCTCTAAACCTTCCTGTTTTTTAGGAAGATTTGGTTTAACTACTCTACAATTTTGATTGATGGATGGATTGATTATGTGCAATCAATATACATTGAGTGACTTATGTGCAATTAATTTTTTACTCCTAGAGACCACACTGATAGATTTTCTCCATGACAACCTATTCCTAACCTAGTCTTCATCACCAGGGTAACTGAATCTATTGGTTGTCTTCTTCTCTTTCTTTCCCAGCATTAGTACCTTCTCCAGAAAACTAGGTCTTTGCATAATGTGTCCAAAGTAGGATAATTTGACCCTATTATTTTTCCTTCTTTTAAACACTCAAGACCCTCTGAAAATCAACCTATACTATCACTTTCATCATCCTTTCTTCCCCTTCTTTCTGTTTCCTTGAACTAACCAAGGAAGGCAGTTTGGGAGACTATTGGACTATTATTTGTTTTTATTGCCCAATTTTGGCAGTACAGTAAAATGATGCTTTGGATTGTATGTGGTCCGTGGTTTGTCCTTTGTCCTTTTCTGTATTGAGAGTATTATAAATAATCAACTAGGAGACACCTGACTTTTTTATGAGCCAAGATCAGCCAATATAATACAATTATTCAAGATGATTCAGAAGCTGTTTACAGGATGTTGTCAAGAGGATTGACATAGGACTGTTATGCACCTAGAGCATTATTTTGGCAATGTTTTTGGCAACATCAGCAGACTAATTTGATTAAAGTTGGAGGCTATGCATTTGTCAGTTCTTCCTCAAAAATTCAGAGATTCCTTTATATATACAATTAAATAATAAGAGAATTTTTAAATTGTTCCAAATCCCAAAATCTTTATTAAAAGATATTCAGATCACAAATCCAATCTCTGGTGATAAAAAGATAATTGTGCTTCAGTGAACTATTTTCTTCTGTCCTTAGTCTCTCATGGAACCCATCAAGAGCTCTGTGGAATACAGTTTGAAAAGTCCTGCTATAATATATGAATCAAGAATAAGATATTGTATAAAATTAAGGAAATTGACCATGCTCAATCTACAAAGGTAAGATTGAGCAAATAATTACCCAGTATTAGATCTTTTCTATCCAACCACAATCTAATGAGTGTGGGACCATTAATCCATCTTTCAAAAGAGATAATCTTTCAAATGAGATAAAATATAGGATAGAAGAACCCTAACATTATATTTTCCCTGGAGGAGATTATAAAGATGGGTTTTATTTATTTATGTTTATTTTATTTGTTATCATTTTTATTTAAGAGGTTTTTAGCTGAATAAGAATAATGCAAATTTTGAATTTAAAGACAAAAGAACAGGGGGAGGTAATCAAAAACTGAAAAAGAAAGAAAAAAAGAAAGAATAAAATAGTAAAGAAGTGGCAATATTAACAGTAATAATAATAATACTTTATTTGCGGTCACAGACCAAAACACAAGTACAACAAAAGAAGAACATGGGAAAATTAATCATGAACAATTGGTCACCAAAAGCTTGACTAAGGGGAATTACAGCGTTCTCCTCTGATGGTTACAGCTCTTTAAAAAAAATGGAAACCAAAGAAGTGATATATGAGGAGCCATCCCCTAGACAATATAAGAACAAATTATTAGCATTGGGTCTAGAAGGGTCTGTTTCAAGGAGAGACAGTAACTTAGATCTGCCTGCGTTATACATAGGGCAGTATAAAAGGACATGCTCCACAGTTTCAACCTCAGCTCTGTCACAGGGGCATAGCCGCTCGTTAATCGGGAGCCTCTTAAATCACCCATCCAGGCAATATTAACTGTAGTTATAAGTACCGTACATTTGTATTTTTATCTTCTCTAAGATGACATCATAATTTTCTAATTTCTGTATTCTACCCTTTCTAATCATCAAATCCACAAATCACCAGTTCACTTTTTCCAGAAAAAGTCCATTAGAGACTTCCAATTACTAATAATTGTAGTCACTGATCTTTCTTTAAGCAAATAAGTTGCAATCTTTGCTAATTCTCTCTTCTTCACCAACCATTCCTCTACCGTTGGTATTTCAAAGTCTTTCCATTTTTGCACATATCGTAGTCTCAAAGTGGTAATTGTATATGAAAGTAGTCTTCCATAGATTTTTCTAATAGTGTAATAGTACAAGCAAAAAAGTTTTAATGGAATATTAGTCTTTAAAATTCTTGTATGATTGTACGCATCTGAACCCCAAATTTTCTGGCATTTTTTACAAGGCAATCAGGCATAATAAAATGACCCTATTGTCCACATTTCCAACAAAATGGAAGTACCTTTATATATTCCAGATAATATTTTTGGAGTCATATTCCAATAGTATATCATTGTATAAAACTTCTCTTTTAAATTATAATGTAATGTGAACTTCAATTCTTTCAACCACTGTTCAAACAATATGTTATAAACAAAGTTCATAGCCCTTTTTATCATACAGACTATCACTTACTCTTCCTATGTTTTGAATTTCAGCAAAATCTTATAATTTCAGAAATTATAATATTGAACAATAATTTAAATGTTACAACTAAGTCTAACTTTACCTTTTGCTTCAGTGAGACATTTCAGCTACACTTTAGTAGCCTAAAGATGCTCTAGCAAATTTTTACTGAATAACATATAGCAACTGATCATCTTTATAAATAAAAGATTGGAATACATATAATAGGGAAGCTACCTTAATTATAATAGAAACATACTGATATTTGCTGGCCTAGTAGAAAATCATAAAATAAAGGAATAACTAAGTCTCCCAACTGATAGCATGCTGAAACATTAGCATTTATTTTAATTTGTCTCTAGTATTTAACTGAGCCAAAATACTTTTGCTGATATAATAAATAAATTATAAATAAATAAATAAAATTAAGTACAGTTCAACATTGTATCAAAGAGCTATTTCTCATATCTTGAAAAACAATCAAAATCATGTGATTTATTATATATCTTCAATCACAACAAAGATAATTAAGAACATATGACTGTACTTAAAACATCTCATAATTCTAAAGAAGATCCTGACACAATTAAGTCATCTATAAAACCACTCAAGCAAAAGCTGAAAAAGAATGGGAGAATGATATATCTTCATTATGATAAATATAGCAGGTATATCTGATCAAATTAAGGTAATGTCTAAGCAAATGTTCTACATTAGTGTTATTGCCAGTAAAGCTCATAACATTACGTGCTTAGAATGGTTCCATATGTATAGAATAAAGGCATTTGGGACGTTTGAATTAAATATCTGAATGATTTTTTTAATATGATAAGGACATTGGATGCACACATCCTAGAATCCCAAGATACTAAACTAAGAGGCATTTTAATTTTGTAAAGCTGAATTAGGAACAATGTCCTTCAAAAAGTACATTTTTTGGAAAAAATAAACCGAGAAGATTTTTAAAAGTGCAATTTTATCAAGATAATACTAAGCTACTTTACAACCCTCCCTCTAACTAATTATTCCTCTAATAAAACTTTGAAATAACTAAAAATAGGGATCCTTCTTCAGGTTTATTTATTAAATTTATATGCTACCCATCCCACTTTTGAAGTGACTGCATGGCTTAAAAATGGTTTGATCTCAGAGCATAAACCAATAAAATAAGTAATCAAGTATATTCAGTAAATAATGGCTTCTAAAGTTCTGCATATCCAATAGTTTTATGAGCAATTATATTTAACATGTTTGCCATGCTGTTGTGAGGCATGTAATTATTATTTAGTTTATAGTAATAAAGTTTATTTTTCTAAAATAACGAGCTAAATCTAACTTTTTCCTTTTTTAATTGTTAAACCTTTAAGTTCCACTTTTAAATTTTATGTCTTTGAGATTAAAACATTTAAGGCTAAATTTATAATGCAGACCAATCTTCTCCAAAGTGGAATCCAGAAGTGTTGGTCTTCATTTCCATAATTCTTATCCAGCATAATTAACAACTTTGCTAGTTCAGGATTTGGGGATGTGAAGTCTGATATACCTAAAAAAATGCCACACTTAGAAAAGTGAAATAAACTTTAGTCCATACCCATATGAGCAGGTCTATATTTAAGAAAATGTCCATCTAATTAGAAGGGCTTAACTGAAAATATATGGCAAATCCTCACAACAATGTCACAGGCAAAGGGAAGTGTGACAAAGATTAAATATCTCTCTAAAAACGACATATCTCTGGTGGTGAACTTTAGAATGTAGACACTATTAAGAATGTAAATTATGGTTTAAAATCCTGACATACTCAAAATAGTAGAAAAAATTCCATTTGCAAGTAAGAAAATGTTTGAATTTCTGTCACAATCTATTATTATCATAAAGCTAAATATTACCATAGAAGGTAAGTTTAGTGTGGCTTTCTAGGTATTTCAATACTGCAGCACTTGCAGCTATTTTAACTCTTACACAAATAATTGAATGATTTCAGATAATTACACAATGCTCAGTATGTGGGTGAAAAAATATGATTCCATCACAGGGAGAGAAAAGTAGACATTTAATTAACTAAATGGAATTATGTGTGGATTAACTACTGCAAAAACAGAAATTTTAGAGAAAAAAGCGGGCAGACTCAATAAGGCATTACAATGCTGAGATAGTTACCTCGTCTTGAGGCTTCAAAACTATCGAAGAGATTAATTCTCTGGATGTCATAGGTCAATGTAGTATTAGGCATCAGTGTTCTGTTTCTGTTAATATTGGTGACTGCAAACTTGAAAGCTAGTTCTTCAACATTAACAGGTTCATTTTCCACCATTTCAAATATCCCCCCTGCAAAAATAGAGACAAGAAAAGAAAGTTATCCTAATTCTAGTTTGCTATAAAATCAACAATATGGAATCCTTGAATATCAAAGTGTTGAGTAGAGCAACATTTTTCAATCTCAGCAACTTTAAGATGCATGGACTTTACCTTCTAGAATTCCCTAACCAACATGGAGAACATCTTAAAGTTGCTGAGATTGAGAAACAGTGCACTAGTTAGTTCAAGATAGAGCATGGCTAGAGAGTCATATGCAACACACAATCAGCACACCTGTTGTAGCCTTCCAGAGCATCCCTAGAGTGATGGGGCCAAATATTTAAAAATATTTTTGCACTTGGGTGTTGGTTAGTTGGTTGATTAGCACATCATTTCTGCCCTAAACCTTGATATGTTTAAGCTTTAAACATTTTTAAAATCTTTGAAAATGATCCACTTGGAAATGTACAACTTCACAGAATCATGGAATGTATAACATGTATAGTGGTGTTTACGTTCATCCACACAAAAGCCAATTCTCCAATTTTTACTCAAAATACCATGGAAAATGAGCCAGATAAGCTGACCCACATTTTTCATTGTATTTTGGTTAAAAGTGTGAGGCTCTGCTTATCTGTGGATGGGCTTGCAATACAAGCATATATTGTAAATACAGGTGCAATACTTTCAAAAAATACCATACATACTCATGGATAAGCCCATCCATAGATAAATAAAACCCAATTTTAGGGAGCATATTGACACCCTAAATGACAGTCTATTCCACCAGATGATGATCTTGTATGAACCTTCTTCCTTAGACACTAAGTTCACACCTGATAATTATTATTATTCAGATACAGGTAGTCCTTGACTTATGACCACAACTGAGCCCAATATTTCTGTTGCTAAGTGAGACATTTATTGAGTTTTGCCTCATTTTACGATCTTTCTTGTCACAGTTGCTAGTTAAGTTGTTAAATTTAAGCGAAGTGAATCACTGCAATTGTTAAGTTAGGAACTCAGTTGTTAAATGAACTTGGCTTCCCCTTTGTTTGTCAGAAGGTTGGAGGACACCATGAGTCAGTTGCAAAAATGGTCATAAGTTACTATTTTCAGCACCACTGCAACAGTCACGAAATGAATTGTTATAGGTCAAGGACTACTTGTATTTGAAGATTGCTAACATATTTCCTCTTCTGCATGCTAAAAACAACGCTTCCTCACAGAGCTAACTTTCATGCCTCTCACCAACTTAATGGCCTTATTCTGAACTTCTTCCAACTGGTCATTGTCCTTTTTGAACGGTGGTACCCATAACAGATATAATTCAAATATCTGCAACGACTATAAAAATACTGAATTAAAAAGGAAAAACTAAAAGTGGCTTCCAAAGCTGCTTTTGATTTTCACATATCATTTACTCATTTAATGTTAATCACTAAAGAATAAATGGGATTTTTCAATCATTGACTCCACGTGTAAAATTTATGACTGACATAACTTATATTTCTCAGACAAGAAAATGTAATCTTGTAATATATTGCAATGGGCTTTGATTTCAGTATGTCCCATGAATAGAGAGCTCTTTTGAAATTATGAAACAACACAATTAACATTAAGCAAAAACTAAAATCAATTCAGTAATGTTAAAATAAATTAAATTAACCAAACTTGGTGAAAGAGAGAGAGTTTCATAATTTTCTTGAATATTGAAGATGTGCTGAATTAAGTAATTTCCTTTAGGAATGCATTTCGTAGGCACTCACATCTCATAAAAGAAGGATCTGACATACTGAATATTCCAGCAGCAGCAGATTCTTCTTCAGATTCTTCAAAAGGGACTACTATTATTATTGTGGTGGTGATCATATCTGGCTTTATTTTGTATAACTCAAAAGTATCATATATAATGCTCCTATCCTCGTGCTATAATTAGATAGGCAAGTTCACTGACCACTTTTCAGTCAGGCTTTAAGCTATTAATGGCTTCAAGGGTCAACATCAGCTCTCTATATTGTATCTGGTTGGCAGCTGGTTTACTAATCCCACTGGCTCAGGAACAAGCACAGTTGATGCAGCAGCCATACATGTATCAACATGTAGCTATGCTCTTTAAGCCCAGTGATAGGTGGAGTCAATAAACATTCCCACATTGTGAATCTGCTCCTTTTAGGGGAGGGCAACTCTCTTCAAATACATTTCACCTCATTCCAAGTACATCTTTCTCCTTACAAACATCACCTATGTCTTATCTGGATTAATTTCAGCTTATTCTCCCTCATCCAACCCATTATTGAGTTCATGCAACATTAAAAGGTGCATTGAGACCCTTCTTGGAAATATATGGTAATAAACAATAGAGCATCTCATTCCAAAGTTTTTAATGACCATGCCTAATACTTTTATGAAGAAGTAAATAATGCAAAGGACTAAATTAGCCTTCAAATTGGGCTCAGCTCCTTTGAGGTAGTGGTACTATTCTACCAGTTTGGTCCAGTCCTGACGTACCGGTAGCACAAAAGATCAACTGAGACTCAACCGGTTCTCTCTGATGAGCTGCTGTTGGGCCCACCCAGATGTGATATTCAGCGGGTTCTGACCAGTTCTGGAGAACCGGTAGTGGAAATTTTGAGTAGTTTGGAGAACCGGCAAATTCCACTTCTGACTAGAGATTTTACAGTATCCTTCCCCTGCCACGCCCACCAAGCCACACCCACAGAACCGGTAGTAAAAAAAATTGAATCCCACCACTGGGCCCATCCACCCTCTGGGCTCCCATACTGACCTTTATTCCCTGCTTTTGAAGCACAGTTGCTTTACGCGGCACAGCAGATTGCTGCACGTCAGCTGTTGAAGCTACAGGGATTGCAGAAGGTGAGTAGGAAAGCCTCTGTGCATGCGCCAAACACGCCCACCAAGCCACGCCCACTGAACTGGTAGTAAACCTCTTTGAAACCCACCACTGCCTTGAGGCATTATGTTCATTTTCCTTTTTGAAATTAAAAAAAAATGATTGTTTTTTTGTGTTTTTATCAAAGTTAGAGCAAGGGGATACAACCTTCCCAGATTTGTGAGAACCAGATGAGTCTATTACGATCACATTACAGAGGTGTCAATAGCTACTACTACTACTGAGAATCAAGATGCTTAAGTAATTTTTTTATTTTATATTTACACAGATATTACATACTGAGAGGAGGAGGAAGCTGGCTGCTGCTGGAGCATGCTACAGCAGCTCCTCTTGGTTTTATCTTATTTTATCAACTTTTAGTACTCCCATTGGATCTTTTTTATTTAGATAATATTTTGGGGGGAAGATAATAGCATAGACCACAACACAGACAAAAGTTTTTGTCTTGCTGGGGACTAATAAGGCATGGGAAAAAGAAAGAAGCACCATGGCACCAGCCCAGGATCTCTCCCACCAGTGAAGACTACAAAACAACCAAGAATTGAGGAGCACTTTGCTGGCAAGAGATCTGTAAATAAAACTAACCCCCCCCCCCCGCTCCATTTCCAACAATCTTGAGAAGTTAGAACGGGACCTGCAAAGAGATCTGACAAAACAGCAGATATTAGATTTTCCCGATCTAGTGGGAGAGGAGCGAAATGACAGCCAGACTTTTTCACAAACAGCTAGGTCAGCTACAGCTGATATGGAGACAGTGATAAAGACTAAAAAGGTTAACAATAAACTAATTCAGAGTGAGGAGAGCTTACCATGGGAGAATACAACAGAATTTATGGCAAAACAATGCCTTCTCACAGGCGCAAATGGTTGTCTCAATATTTGAACAATTAATAACCATTCAACATGATGTAGAGACACTAAGGAAAGATATCGCTGTCTTTCTGCAAGCACAGCATCGGGCTACAGACACCCCCACCAACGTTCTTACAGCAGACCTGGGTAAATCCCATACCCAGGATAAGGAAGAAGAAAAAGAGCAAAGACCCAGAAAACAGTTCAAAAACATGTTAAAAAGCCCTCTCAGAAAAACAGACCTTCTCCAGACAAGGCAACAAGAGGAGGAGGTATCAATAGAGAAGTTTCATTGGAAGCCAGGAAAGCAGCTCCCCTGCAATCACATCGCTCATTGCAAACACAACAGATTGCTTTTAGAATCCATATGAACAGACTTAATTATGGACGCTGGAATACTAAGAGTGCTATACTAAATTCCCTAAGCCAGCTTCTTCAGTTCCACCAGGGGCAGATTAAAGATATTGCATACTTTTTAATTGATTCAACCAACTATTTTATGCCTTTTTTGCTAGATATCTTGGGAATTTTGTGTTGTCCTTTTCTCTTCCAGATTGAATTTTACCATTCTATTCATTTTTGAAGTTGATGTCTAAATATTATCTAACATTTTTTCAAACAGTATGAATAGCTGTATTCATGAATAAAAATGATACATGTTAGACATTCACTGAGTTATGTTCCCCTACTTAATTGATCATTATTAAACTTCACCAGCAATATTTTTATTGTCTGGAAGTCTATGGTCTGTGGTTCTTTTAATGAGTAACAGACAAGTAGCTTCTGTCTGAAATGACAGAAAGCAAGTTCATTATCCTTTTTAAAAAGCACTGCTGAGAAATTTAGGAACATTAATTATGTCAGTTGAGCCATTGGGAAATATCTTCAGGCCTGAAAGTCTAACAAAACAAAAAACTCAAAGAGGAATTACTAAACTTCAAATCCTATTAGACCATAGTAAAGCTTTAAGATCCATTTAAACCAATCTCTGGATTGTGCCATGGCTCCAAGCAATCATTCTAGGCCAGAGTTACTGATTCAAGTTTCATTTTATTATGATTGTGTCCTCCAACAAATCTGAGTCAGAGCACACTTAAAGGGATTTGGTTCATTTGATTTAGATTCCAACAGGCCCAATCATTGTTCTTTGTTCACACAGTAAAATGTGATTTGGTTAATAACTTTTAAGTTATTGAAAGGTAATGTTTGAAACTAGTATGGGTATGTATACAAAGTAATTTGGTAAAATTACTTTAAATACTCATAGGATTAATGGAGGCAGCCTTGCAACTGTTTGACTTTCATGTGATGAGGAAATACACTTATATTTTGAGAAGTGCCATATGAAATGTTAGGAGATGCTTCTCTAACAATACAAATTTATAACCCTTTAATTCCATATTATACAGGAACTGCATGAGCGATGAGCCAAGTGCTTCTGCTTTTACATTTATTTGAATACTCAAACTGCCATAAAAATCTATTTTTATAATTGGTATAGTTTAATTTGTTAGAAATATATTGGAGCCTGTCTCAGCAGCACTTGACTTGGATGAGGTCATTCTGAGGTGTCCTCGGTTGCATGTTCCTATCATTTCAGAAATTAAAGGCTATGGTAGTATATCAATAGAGATGATAGATTAATTTAATTTAATTGATTTAATTTTTCAATGTTCATTTCCTCTGATGTGAACTTGATTGCAATATTCAAAGTAATGGTTCAATTCATATAAATATTTCTAAACCATGAACATTTTTCAATGGATAAAATTTTCAGATTCAATGAAGACATCTTTTCCCAATAAAATATCTCACAAAGGTATTGAACTTGATTTCCACTTCTTGGTGACATGCTTTGCTGCCTCAGGCCATTGGTTTGTTGTGATGTCAAGACAGTTATGAAGGTTTGGTAAACTTGGCCCAATTGGCAAATACAACTCATCATTGATATCAGTGGGTGTCGGTCTGAGGGCATATTGGCCAAAATTTGTCATGCAGACAGTACTCAAAAGATAATTCCTGACTTGCCCTTTTGCAGCGGGAGAGGTAGCTTTCTATCTGTGATCATCAGGATTCCTGGGGCACCAGAAAGTTTGACATAGAAGCTTAGAAGGTGTAGCTCCTCCTGGTAAGGACCTCAGCATCACTGGTCAATTTTAGCTGTGTCAGGGCCACAATCATTGGTAATATTATCTGTTAGTTAACTAGCAGAGGCAGCAGAAGCAGCAGCAGCCTGTCAGGTACAATGTCACAGAAATAGGCAAGCTGCAGAAAAGGTAACAGTAGTATTGCCACTGTTACATTTTAAAATAATAATGATACCTGAAAAGAATGTAATAATGACATTGACAAAATTATCATCAGTAAATTGCAAAGAGCAGATTTACTTGGAATAGATTATGTCCTGTGACAATACCTTCAAAACAACTTTTGCTTATCACAGAAGGACTCAACAGCTTGTCAAAATGCTAAATCCAGCCTAAATATCGGTCTGACTGTGCGACCAGTTTATTGGACAAAAAATAGACTCAAAAGAGAGCAAACTACCCAGAAGTTCATGTAGAATGTGGAGACTACCTAATTAAACTCAAAAATTACAGTTGCTGACATTATGAGGTACGTGATTAAGACTGCAAAACACAGTATTTTCTGAGAAATCTAGGAAATCATTGCCTGAATTTGTGGGATCAATTTTTTTTATCATTCAGCCCAGCTCTGTCTGACTTCTACAGATGTGAGTCTATGCTGTCTTGATCCTGCCTGTGTAGCTTCTTTTTTTCTCTTTATCTGATGACTATTCTGAAATAAGCAAGATACTTACACCTTGCATAAGAACACTTTCCAAAGTTATGACATAGTTTCAATTCAAACTGCACAATTTTATACATGCACAGAATTTGGGGGAAATATTGGGAAATTATTGGGAAGAGCTATGTTGGTGGAGTGTTTAGAATGCAGTATTGCAGGCTACTTCTGCTGATCACCGGCTGCCAGCAGTTTGGCAGTTCAAGTCTCCCCAGGCTCAAGGCTGACTCAGCCTTCCATCCTTCTGAGGTTGGTAAAATGAGGACCCAGGTTGTTGGGGGCAATATACTGACTCTGTAAA